GGGCTGGGGCTAGCTGGCTAGGGCTCCTGGGCTGGGGCTAGCTGGCTAGGGCTCCCGGGCTGGGGCTAGCTGGCTAGGGCTCCCGGGCTGGGGCTAGCTGGCTAGGGTTTCCGCTTCTGCTCTAAGCTGGTGCTGGTTGGCTACCTCCTATCTTTGGGCCGCGCGACTGGCGTGCGTGGGTGTTTCTTTTGGTGTTCTTATCTGTCTACTTTTCACCCTCGGGCACCGGCGGGCCCCTGCTAGGCGCGCGCACGGGGCGCGTACTAATAAGCTTTGGCGCTTTTGTTCACGTCGTTCTCCAGGACACCTCCTTCAGGGAGATTCCTTGGGGAAATTCTATGAAGGGAATCCCTTAAAGCTGTGCCACTCTAAGCTTAAATGAATGAAGTTGGCTACTAATAAGGCCCCTCCTTAAGGGGAAACAACATCGCACATCTCGTGTAGTATAGCTATAGTTATGTCTTGTCTGTGGCGTTGCTTTTGTTTTCTTTAAGGCGGTTGGGCTTTTATTAGCCAACTCTAGTAACCTATCTTCGACTTCGACGTTCTGGTCTATTAGCTGGCTGAGGCTTCTGGGCTAGGCTAGCTGCTGAAGCCTTCTGGGCTAGCTGGCTTTAGGCCTCTGAGCTAGCTGGCCATAGTAGATTCTAAGCTGCGGCCCAACGCTTGTTCTAAGCTAGCGGGCCGCGATGGCTTCCAAGCTAGGCGGTGGCGGGTGCTAAGCTAGCAAGCCAAGGCCATGGCAGTGGCACCGATTGGCTTCTACGGAGGTGAGCGAGGAACCTGCCCAAAGCTTCTGAGCTGGCTGGCCAAAACTTGCGAGCTAGCTGCCCAAAGCTTCGGAGTTAGCTGCCCATAGCTTCTGAGCTAGCTGGCACCTGGCGGCGGCTTCTGAGCTAGCTGGCCACAGCTTCTGAGCTAGCTACCAATAGCTTCGGGGCTAGAAGCTGGCCAAAGCTTCTGATCCAGCTGGCCAAGGCTTCTAAGCTAGCTGACCACGGCTTCCGCGCCCGAGCTCGCTGGCCATGGCTTCCAAGCTAGTGCGCAAAGTACGCGTAACGCGAACAAGCTGCCCAAAGCTCCTGAGCTAGCTGGCCAAGGTTTCTCTGCGAGCTGCTTGCACTTGCCCAGGGCTTCAGAGTTAGCTTGCTACCCCTGGCTTCTGCGTTGGGTGTCAGTGCCTTCTGAGCTATGTGGCCACTGCTTCTGAGCTGGCTGGCCACCGCTTCCTTCTGAGGTAGCTGGCCACAATTTCTTTGCGAGCCAGCTGCCCAAAGCTTGGGGTTAACAGGATGCCCTTGGCTTCTAAGCTAGCTGGCCATGACCTCTAAACTAGCTGGCCATGGCTTCGGCTGGGCAAAGCTTGTGAGCTAGCTGGCCAAAGCTTCCAAGCTAGCTGCCCAAGGTTTCCAAGCTAGGTGGCCATGGCCTCCTTCGAAGCTAGCGGGCGGCAGCTTCTAAGCTACCAAGCCACGGCGCCCGTTGCCATTGAGTGGCTCTTAAGTAGGCTAGCAAGCTGCCCAAAGCTTCTGAGCTAGCTGGTCAAGGCTTGCGAGCTAGGTAGCTGCCCAAGGGTGGGAAGGGCTCGGAGTTAGCTGCCCATGGCTCCTAAGCAAGTTGGCCGTGGCTTCTGGGCTAGCTGTCCATAGCTTTCGGGCTAGCTGGTCAAGGCTTCTGAGCTAGTAGCTGGCCAAGGCTTCGAGGCTAGCTGGCTGAGGCTTCGGAGCTAGCTAGCCAAGGTTCCGGAGCTAGCTGGCCAAGGCTGCAGAGCCAGCTGGCCAGGGCTTCGGACTTCGCTGGCCATCGCATCTGCTGGCGTTGGTTTCTCCCTATGTAGGCTAGCCAGGTGGCCTGCGTGCTCTAGCTTCTGAGTGGGCTGGCGGCTTGTTGCTTTTCAGCTCACTGCCGATGGCATCTCGGCTAGCGGCTATGGCTCCCAGTCTAGGCAGCTAGGGGCCCTAAGCTCGCTGGCTGTGGCTTTTGAGATAGTAGCGGGCTAGGGTTTCTGAGGGCTCCAGCTTCTCAGCTTTCTGGCTATGCTTTCCGGGCTAGCTGGCTAGGGCTTCCGGGCTAGCTGGCTGGGGCTGCCTTCTGCTTCTGCTCTGAGCAGGCTGGCTGCCTATCTGTGGGCAGCGTGTCGGACATTTGCAGGCGCTTCTTTTGGTACTATCGTACTCTTATCTTAGAGGAGTTTACAGAACGGATGTAGGTTGGACTTTGATGGATCGGATGGACCCCCCTGATTCTTCCGATCTTACTTGAAACTTCGGGAAGCCCATCCGTTCCATCTGATCCATCCGATCCACCCGATCCATCCCATCCCGGATCTGGCACCCCTATAGACTGCTCTATTACGTGCCTACTTTTCAGCCTGAAGGCAAGCTGAACCTGGGGCACCGGCGGGCCCCTGTGGATATGGTTAGTCTTTCCCCCATGTCTTACCTTAGGTCGATCCCACCGTCGAACATTAGTAGATAGTATCTGATCTTCCCTCTTCCACTTTCTATCTAAGTCAATCTCTATACTACATTTTCCCTGTCGTCAGTCTCGTAGCGGTCACTTATTATAAACTGATCTTATTGGAGGTATCTATGAACTGACACCGCGCAAATCTGACCGGGGAACTCGTGCAAACTACTCAGGCATGAACCTGAAAAACTCAGACGGGCCCCTTTTTTGGGCCTTTTTTTAGGGCAAAAATGGACCATAAAAATCTCCATCAGAAGCGATCAGAGTTGTGATCCCATTGTGCTGCCCAGACTGATCTTTATGCTCATTATTGGGCCACCCACTGGCCCACTTTTTGACCGTTTGCCGCTGTTCCAAGAGTGGCTGCACCTCCCAAGACCGCAGCTCCTCGCTTACCTTTCGACGAAGGGGATCCGAGTATGCTGCTGCTGCTCCTGAAGATTCTGACGCAACGCACCGCAACGCACCCAGATCCAGAGCAGACGACGACGAGACACGCGAGGCCATCGCCATGCCATCCCATGCCATCCCATGCCATCCCAGCCCACGCCATCCCAGCCCATGCCATCCCAGCCCATGCCATCCCAGCCCATGCCATCCCAGCCCATGCCATCCCAGCCCATGCCATCCCAGCCCATGCCATCCCAGCCCATGCCATCCCAGCCCATGCCATCCCAGCCCATGCCATCCCAGCCCATGCCATCCCAGCCCATGCCATCCCAGCCCATGCCATCCCAGCCCATGCCATCCCAGCCCATGCCATCCCAGCCCATGCCATCCCAGCCCATGCCATCCCAGCCCATGCCATCCCAGCCCATGCCATCCCAGCCCATGCCATCCCAGCCCATGCCATCCCAGCCCATGCCATCCCAGCCCATGCCATCCCAGCCCATGCCATCCCAGCCCATGCCATCCCAGCCCATGCCATCCCAGCCCATGCCATCCCAGCCCATGCCATCCCAGCCCATGCCATCCCAGCCCATGCCATCCCAGCCCATGCCATCCCAGCCCATGCCATCCCAGCCCATGCCATCCCAGCCCATGCCATCCCAGCCCATGCCATCCCAGCCCATGCCATCCCAGCCCATGCCATCCCAGCCCATGCCATCCCAGCCCATGCCATCCCAGCCCATGCCATCCCAGCCCATGCCATCCCAGCCCATGCCATCCCAGCCCATGCCATCCCAGCCCATGCCATCCCAGCCCATGCCATCCCAGCCCATGCCATCCCAGCCCATGCCATCCCAGCCCATGCCATCCCAGCCCATGCCATCCCAGCCCATGCCATCCCAGCCCATGCCATACCAGCCCATGCCATACCAGCCCATGCCATCCCAGCCCATGCCACCCCAGCCCATGCTATCCCAGCCCATGCTATCCCAGCCCGTGCCATCCCAGCCCATGCCACCCAACCCCGTGCCATCTCATCCCGTGCCATGCCATCCCGTGCCACCCCATCCCGTGCCACCCCATCCCGTGCCGTCTCATCTTGTGCCACGCACCCCATCCCGTGCCACCCCATCCCGTGCCATCCTGTCCCGTGTCATGGGGTGCGATGAGATGAGGCGAGATGGGATGGGGTCGGACTCGAAGTGGCTGGGTCTGGAGTGGTATCCACTCCGTGGACACTGGCTCGGGGACTGGCTAGGGACACGAGAGGAGACGGCGCCCTCGAGTATCTGCCAACAGCACCCCTGACAGTGATCAGCTTATTTTACGGCTTGGCGCCAGCAGAAGCAGAACAAGGTAGGAGACAGAGAGAACGGCGACCCCCTGCCCTGGTGCTCTATCTCTATGAAGTGACGCCCGTCCGCAACGTCGTGCCCTTGCGGCCCAAAGAAAGACTGCACCATGCTAAGTAAGGCACGCAGCAGCTGCGCCGCTAGGGCCAATCTTCTGCACTGCCAGCATTGGAATAGCTTGGGGACGGACCGCCACCGGATCACCTCGAGCCAAGATTGTTCACCGCCAGTCCAGGGTGTCTGGCATTGGGGCTTAGCTCTGCTTCTGCTAGGTACGGCCATAGAGTCAAATACTTCGCTAGGGACTGACGTAGCCAGGCATCCCCTTAGCGCTTGACGTCTAAGATAGGCGCGCGAGATTGTTGGCCGTCGGTCGTCGTTTCTACGTTTCTGTTGCGGTCCAAGTAAGGCGCGCCATCCCATGCAGGTTGATCTGAGTAGCTGGCTCAGTCTCGGGATGGAGTTGGAGGGGAGGCCTGTGGCCCCAAGTTTTCTCGCGCGGGACGCGCAGTGTTCGAAAAGTTGAGAGAGGTGAACGCGAAGGAGAGAGAGAGAGAGCACGAGCACGACGGCAGCCCGCGAAAGCGAAAGGCAAGAGGGGGACAGCGTAAGGAGTGAGGGGCACCAGCCCAGAAGAGAACAGGCCGTCTGCCAGGCGGGGGGGTAGCATAGGACCCGATGGGCTAAGGGTGGAGAGATCAGACGGGCACAAGCAGACCACTACTAGCGCAAACGGCTGCTCCCCGTCTGCTCTCCGCTGAGAGCAGAGCAGAGGCGGCTGGGGGCTGGTGAGGTGATCTGCTGGCTGGTAGCGTAGCCGTAGCGCGGAGGGCGAGAGGATTCGACTTCGAGTCGCTTCCTGCTACCTCCACGCCACTCTTCTCAGCTCACCCCATGGCCTGAGCGCCCGCGTGGCGGTCTTGTTCTCTTCTTTCTTGCTTCAGCTGAGCTCGAAGCCCGGCGCCACTTCGCTTCTGTCTGTCTCGTGTTCGCATCAGCTAGCGCGGGCCTGGGGCGTGGCTAGGCTTAGTAACCAAAGCGCAGCTAGCACAAAGGGGCCAAAGGGTGAAAGATTGGACTGATGAGCGAAAAAAAGGCCACCGCCTCGGCGGGGCTTGGGTTTCGCAGTCTTTCACCTGGAAGAATGTCTCCAGGTTTTGGGCGTTTTCACTCATGTCCCCGCACTTGCACAAAAGAGAAACACCCGCCACGCAGCGCCCCTCTTTTTTCGGTGCTTTCATTCGTCCAGAAATGCTCCAGGGGCGCACAGTTCTCCTTACGCTCAAAAGCTGGGCCCCCGCGGCCCGCTAGCAACAAAGACGGGCCTGAGCGTGCGCCATGACCGCGCTGCCATGTGCTTTCCCTATCTTTATATGCCAACTCGTTCGGAAACGACCCGTAACCTTTAGGAGGAGAGCCAGTCCCGCGATAGGTTTGCGCTCGTGGGTGTGCGTGTGTTTTCGTTTGGTAGACAACTAAGGTTCTTGCCTTTCGTATAATCAAAGTAAGTGACGCCTCGGCAGCAGCTCTTGCCATAGTGAATGCTGGAGGCCGGCTCAGCAGCGGGCCGCTGGTGTAATTCGGCGCGTGCGCTTTGGCCTCGCGGCGGGGCGGGGTTTGGGCTGCTCCCTGCCTTGCCGCACTGTTCACACCCATCAGCATTACAGAGCGAGGCTAGGGCGCGGCCGCTAGTCACCCGCTGGAGGGTACGCATGGGCCAAAGATTTGGCACCTTGGGTCTTTTCAAAGGCCATTTTTTTCGGTTTCCAAATACCCCGCACGCCATGCCGTGCGGGGTATTTTGGGCACTGGTCGCTTTGCTCGCCAGTGGTGGGCAGTATTTCCTTTGCTGACAGAACCCCCAGCGCCATGGCGTAGGGGGTATCTGGAAAAACCAAAAATCGCTCTTCAAAATGCCCCAGGAAGCCTCGCCTTCCATGTCTTTCCGTGGGGACCATTTGGAGCAGCATGGAACTTGCCCAGAAGCGCTTCCCACGGCTTGCCGTGGGGGGCATTTTTCCGATTTTCCGGCGATTTTGGGGCGAGTTCCTCACGTGTTGGCGTGGGTGGGGGGCATTTTGAGCAGCGTGGAATTTGCCCAGAAGCGCTTTCCACGGCTTGCTTTGGGGAGCATTTTTCCGAGTTTTCGGCGATTTTGGTGCGAGCTCCTCACCTGCTTCTGTGGCAGGTGCGGCGAAATTCACTGGGCCGCTTTTCATTCGGATTCATGTGCAATCTCTTTGGCGTTATAGCTCTCCCCAATGTCTTCAAATCGCAGTCGTTTTCGACTGCCCCACTGAAGTGAGCAAAGCGCAGCCGAGTGAATTCAATCCGGGTTAGGGTAGGAGTTAAAGCGCAAAGCGCAACCGCTTGGGGGGCTCTAACATCTAGAAGCGGGGCGGCCTTCTTGCTTTGTTGCAGTCGCATGCTTGGAATCGATGCACGTAGCAAGTCCAGCAGTTTTTTTTTTTTCTGGCGCCGTTTTTAACTTAGAAAGAAAGGCAACCCATGTCGACAGGGTCGGCTAAATACTTCTTGGCTGGCGTGTGTGCTTGGGGTGGCACAGTGTCCATATGGATGCTTTATCGCGCAGCGAACTTCTGTTAGCGATAGGGGTCAGGTACGCTTTTGCTTTTGGTCTTAAAATTGACCAACAACAACGACAACGGCGACAGCGTTGGTTTAGACTTAGTGTCGCTCGCCCGTAAGGGTAAGCTTTTCGGACCGCCTCGAGGGTTTGGGCGCTGGTCGCAAGCGCACTCTTTAGCACCTCCGCCGCCGCAGGCGCACCTGGGTAGCTAGATCGTGCGCCACATCTTCGCCAAAGAGTGCGCCGACGGGCACTCACTTCGTGGGCTTCGATGTCCATTCTTCGTCCCCGCCTCTCTATCGTCACGCTTATAGTAGGACTTGCGTTCCTTGTCGCACTCCGCGAAGCAGTCCGCTGCTGCCTTCCGCGATAGATTCGACTTCCATGCATTCCCCATCTTTGCGCTCGCTTATTCCTGAGTTGCTATCTCCTTGCCCTCTTGTTGCTCTGCTTCCCAGCAGCTCAGCCGTGATGAATATTTATAACGGCGAGCCCTGTCTTCTTCCGCTTGCTGAGTCCCAGCACTTCACGTCTTCCCCCGTCGAGTCCGGAAGAGGTAGATCCGCACTCATTGGCGCTGGGTCTTCTGGTGGATCCGGTCGAGGTGGTGACGGTGGAAGGCCCGGCTCCAATCAAATTGGACCACTTGGCACTGGCGCCAAAGGTGGGTTCCCGCCCAAAGTTCGGGCTTGATGGGTCACGATCTTCCTTTTCGAAATGTGGGCGCGCCATCGTTTCGACTGACTGGCCATGGCCTCGAGGTCACGACAGAAGCAGGCCCAGACACCCTGCTGCAAATGAAGGACACGGAGGGACGAAGCGAGAGCAAGCCCAACCCCTAGCTTTGGCTTTGCATTGTTATACTCTCTGGCCTTGTTTCTGGAGGGGCGAGCGTAGTTTCAGGGCCCACGGATTGCGGAAGTGGACTTTGACCACAAAGACAAAGCCACGCCACTGAGTCCGTCGCGTGGTGGAGATTAAGATGGGCAGGAAGATGGGGACGAGGCCGCGCCTCTCTTCGCTTTTCGATTATGGCTTCGCCCTGGTTTCCTTTTTCGATTTTGATGCTTCAGAGTTCATTCGCACTCGTCCCTCTCTCTCTCCCGACTCTCTCGCCCACGGCTCTCGCACTCATTTGCAGTGCTGTTTAGATTTGTTCTCTCTTTTCCTTTTCGATTTCGTTCGTGTTCGGCACCAGCGATCACGGTTTGCCCATGACACTGAAACCCGCAGCGGCTTGGGCTCTTCGTTTTAGTTTTGCTTTCGTCATCGTCCTCGTCGGCGTTTCTTCCAAATGGCAGCCCCAGTCGCTGGCGAGACGGAGGGCCATCGCCGTCCAAAATCTGAGTCTTCAGGAGCTTTTGAGAAGTTCGACACTGGAGACGCAGGATTGCCAAGGCTCTGGGTCTGGGCCAGCGCCGTGAGAATTGAGGGAACGCAAATCGGCGCAGCGAAATCGGAGACCGGCGACGGCGCTGGGGGTGTAGCTGAAGAAAAAGCGAGGGCCTCTCTATTAATGTCTGCACTTGAAGACGCAGACGAAGTAGACTGAGAAACGAAATCGAAAGGGCTGGCGATCTAGTTGAGACTTAAGGCTGAGGAATATGCTACGCACGAAGCTACCTCTTCTCTGTTCTTTATTGGCAATCGCTGCAGCACCCTCCTGAAGGAGCCGATCGCAATTCGGGTGGGCGGGGAACATTTCGGATGCGTGTCGAAGTATTCGGGTCAATTCTTGAAAATTCGGGAGGGGTGGCCTGCTTCTCTTGGAGACCACCGCGTCGATGCGAAACATGGCCGCGAGATCTCCGTGAAAAGTTGCCTGGGTTGGTCTTCGTTGCCTCTGTCTTTTTGAGTATGGAAAAGGAGGCGGCGCGGCCTCGGGTGCTTTGTCTTTGTGTTGTGTTTCTCTGTTGTTGACAGCCCCGGCGCCAGTTGAGTGCGGACCGCCCGCACGTCATTGGCGTCGGCGCTGCTTGGAATACAGCCGCGGCACGCCTGTGCAACCTCCTCGAGGTGTAGAGAACTCGGGCGGAGGACGGGGGAAACGCAGGCGGGGAAGCAGTGGCAAAGCGGGGCGGCGTTGGTCATCTTTCTGCGCTTGGGCGCCTGGGTTGGCTCTTCGTTTTTTTTCTCTATATGAAAAAAAAAAATCTTGTCGAAAAGTTTGCGAAATCTTTCAAGAGAATCTTTGCGGAATCTTTCCGAAAAGGTAGGCGCATGAAGTTCCAACATTGTCAAAACTTTTAAACTTTCCGCAAACATTCCGCGAAGATTTTGCGACTTTCGTCTTCCATGTTTTTTTGATGAAGACAGGGAAATGAGTCGCCGAGAACAAACTCGCAACAGCTTGCAACGAGAACGAAACCGCATGAGGCTCCGCGCTTGTTGTCTGTGGTTTTTGTGGTTTCTCTGTTCTTCTCTCCAGGCTTGGCAGGCCTCTGGCGTTGTGCATTCGTTTGAGAATTTGGCGTGAGGCTACGCCGCGGACTGGTTCGCCGGCTTGTGATGCTCTCGGCGCAGTGGTTGGCTTGTCGGTGTGTGGGTTGTGTCGGTTTCGTTTTCGGAGCTCCTCCTGGCTTCGTTCTAATGAGACAAGGACAAGGGCCGCGCGCGTGAGCCTCGGCAACTTTTCGCCAAGATTTTCCGCCGCCGGTGATTGTCGGGCGCGGTGGTCTCCAACTTCTCGGAGAACTCGCGGCGTCGAAAGCTCGCAAATTCGGACTCTTGTTTGAATATTCAAAACAAAACAAGCCCAAGACCTAAGCGAGGAGTTGCGGTTTTGGGTTTAGCCACAGCGAACCTCGCAAAAGAGCAAAAGAGCAAACATGATCAAGCATTTGAGCAGGCCTATGAACTCACTTGAGGAGATCACACAAGTCAAAAGCGACGACCATCAAGGCGAAAAAAGACCAAAAAAAGCCTTGGAAAGTGCTCGAGTATTCAGACGAAAAAAAAGGCGATTTCTGAACTTTCAAATTCGTGCCTGAATAGTTTGCATGAGTTCCCCGGTCAGGTTTGCACGGTGTCAATTCATACTTATTGGCTCTTGTTGTGGTTCGTCAATTTTTCATACTGAGAACCGAAGCAGACAGATAAGGCGCTGGAGGTTCGACGCCGCTGGGAGCACGCCGTCAAAGTATGCGAGAAAGTCATGAGCGAGGTCGTCGGCCCCGAGCTTGATGCCCTGCCGGAGCGTTTCCCAGATGCGTACAAGGAAAGCGCCAAAGAGCTTGCCAAGGGGCTGCGTGATTTTGCACTCAACTGTAAGGCGAAAGTAAACCCCACAGCGGCAGCGGGATCAACGGGGCAGCAGCGTAACTTGGCAGAGCTTCTTCACGTTTTTAAAAACGTCGAAAAGAAGATGGCGAAGATATCGAATGCTGCAGACAATGGGCTGTCCCCTACTGCAGCTGCATCTTCTCGCCAAGCCCCTTCACCTAAAAGAAGGGCGACCGAGCTTGAGCAAGAAATGTTCGCCACGGTGATGAATCTACAGCGGACAGGCATCAAAGAGATTCTCCGCGATGTTCTTGGCGGATGTTGGAAAGAGGAAAAACTACAGGACTGGGCAACGTCAATAATAGAAGGTGGAGGAGGATCTGGTGGACTGCTTAATGACAAGTGGTCCGAGCTCTTTGTTGCCGCCCTGGTGGCGCAGACAATATCGCGCGAGCGGATGAAAGGGATAGCGGAGCAGACGTGCGGACGTCGAAGCGAACAAGAACAACAATGTCATTAAGGCTCAGAATATTTCATTTCTAGAAGTCATTTCTCGCAATTTTCTTCTTGGGAATCTGAAGAAATGAACGCAAGAAGTGAAATGTTTTGAGCTCTAATGTCAGGAGAAAGTGAAGAAGTCTCTGCGCGGCGCCATCCAACGTTTGACCAGCGCGACCAAAGAAGGAGCTTTGGACTTTTGTCGCAACCGCATTGAAGATGGCACACTAGAAGACGAAATCGACAGCGTGCTCGAGAACGAGACGACGTCCGAAATATATCTTGTCTTCGATGAGGATGGGCAGACAGCCTTGCCAGCAGGGCCCTAGTGCTGGTTAGAGGTGGAACAGGAAACAAAGTAGGTGGTAGCTAAGAGACTACAGCAGGTGGAGGAATTAGCGAAGGCCAAAAGAATGAGATTGAAAATGGAAACGGTGGAGGCTAAAACTAAAAGAAGGTGGAGATTAGAGGTGGAGCTGATGGAGGTTAAAAGAGCGAGGATATGGGTAGGAGTGGAACTGGTGGAGGTTAAAAGAAGGAGGCTAGAGGTGGAACTGATGGAGGTTAAAAGAAGGTGGAGATTAGAGGTGGAACTAATGGAGGCTGAGAGAAGGAGTCTAGAGCTGGAACTGGTGGAGGTTAAAAGAAGGAGGATATGAGGAGGAGTGGAGCTGGTGGAGGTTAAAAGAAGGGGTCTAGAGGTGGAACTGGTGGAGGTTGAAAGAAGGTGGAAGTTAGAGGTGGAACTAGTGGAGGTTGAGAGAAGGAGTCTAGAGGTGGAACTAGTGGAGGCTGAGCGAAGGAGTCTAGAGGTGGAACTGGTGGAGGTTAAAAGAAGGAGTCTAGAGGTGGAACTAGTGGAGGTTGAGAGAAGGAGTCTAGAGGTCGAACTAGTGGAGGTTGAAAGAAGGTGGAGACTAGAGGTGGAACTAGTGGAGGTTGAAAGAAGGAGCCTAGAGGTGGAACTGGTGGAGGTTGAGAGAAGGAGTCTAGAGGTGGAACTGGTGGCGGAGGAGTCTGGGGGTGGAGCTGGTGGAGGTTAAGAGAAGGAGTCTGGGGGTGGAATTCATGGAGGTTAAAAGATGGAGACTTCCAGTGGGCCTAGTAGTGGAAAGTAAGTCAAATTAGTAGAGGCGGAAAGCGAAGGGATACGGAATGAGATAAGAAGCAAGTACTGCGGAGGTGGGTGAAACTAGCAGAGGAGGATGAGGAGGAGACAGAAGGGCAATATGAGATGACGAGAACAAGTAGGTAGTTAGGAAGAGCAGGTTGAACTTGAAGCTAGTTTGTAAAGCAGGAAGACGACGGCGGGCATAATAGGCCAAGAAGGTCGCACTTTCGAGGTGGTTGAAAATTTTACCTTTGTGTTCAGACAGTCACTCAACTTGTTCAAACATATCGATCCGACGCCTGTAAAAGTCAAGTTGTCCATTCAATTCAGGAACAGGGTTAGTAAAGTTTCTCGTTGTGCCTTCGTGTTTATGTTTTTCCCTATGCAGGTAGCTCTATTAGCGGTTTACTTACCAAACTAGCACTAGAACTAGAACAAAAGCTAACGAAAAAAAAAATCTAAACTGTTATCGAGTTGGATGACGACTACTTACAGCAACAGCAAGAACAGCTAACTTTCATTGGTAATATTAACTACAAGTATAGCGCTTACGTTTATGAGTTAGGATGTGCGGTAAGCGACAGCACCAGAATAATTATAGGCTAACGCTTCTGATAATGTACTTCTTGTGAAGTTTTTACGTGCTGTACAGCATGCTCTCGAAATTCTTACTCTTCTTGTGTCGAGTCCAATTCTTGAATAGAAAGCGCGTTCGCGCGCGCAGCTAATGTACTTCAGCTCATACGTCGCACGATATCAAAATAGGAGCAGGCGCAGAGTGTCTTCTATTACTAACTTTTTATACCAAAAGCTGCGGTCTGCTCCTCGTGGAGCTGCAGCACAGGACAGAAATGAGTATCCGCCACGCAACGGGGTACTCCTGTACAGAAAGACAGAGTTGGGCTCTACTTCATCCATTCACATTACACCAAACGTCATACATAGACATAGACGAACGAACAAGGAAGCAAAGTCAGTATCTTGTCCCCCAAAGCCAAATACTCAACTAATATCTTGCCCCCCTATCTTTCGTCAGCCAAATTTTGTTTCGGGCCTCGCCTCAAACTGCATAAGTTGTAGAGCGCAACAATCAAAATGGAGAGGGTTTATAGGTAACCCCCTGACGCATGTGCATGTCGCCAGCTTCCAACATGTGTGAGGATGAGAATATACATAGACCAGCGCGCCGTAGGGGTGCGCTCTCTGAAGGCCATCAGTGGAGTCGCCTTCGGCCGAATGCTGGCGCACTGCAGCACCTTTTAGCGTGAGAGGATCTTGAGCACCTCCTAAGTAGGCTAGAGCGCCGCAGCGATCTGTTGAAGCGTGTCCAGAGCCTCGCGCAAGGTCAGTCTGTAGTATGGAGGGGCCGTTCAGCTCAGAAGTTATGAAATCTCACAACGGTTGTGTTCATGGTTATGGTCGACACCAGAACAGCAAGAAGGGGCGTGAGCGGAGAGAAGGTTTCTGAGAGGGGTTGACGCCGAAAAGGGTGGCCCACTTGCAAAAAGTCGCCAACAGAAAATAAGAACTTTTCGCAAGAGATACAAGATGAAGCGCTAGTAACGTGTCTAGAAAAAGTAAGCAATTCAGAACCAAAACTCTTTGTGTGATCTGTCGAGTCTTGAGCTTTTTGGGGATCGATAGAGAATCGACGGACTAGATGCACCTGTAAGCATCGGCCAAATATATCTAGTTTGAGAATTTATGTCCTTGGTTTACGTATAGGCTTATCCACTTCGAACCCGATGAAGTACATCATGGCAGCACTACCGCCCCAGTTTGTGCGTACTCCCACCTGCCTGATGACAGGCCCTGACGAGATTACTTACTTAAGCACTTGCTCACTTTTTAAGTGTTTTCAAAAGCTTTCTTCTCATCGAATTGTGGTAGAGATTGATAATTAACAGATTTCAGATAGAAGCTTTCTCGACGTCGAAGCGCCTTTTGGGTTCATCAATTCACCACGACACAACCCCACCAAAAGACTCCCGATCCTTCCTGTCGTCCACATTGAAAATCTCCTACATAGAAGCTGAAGTCGATACTTGCATGTTGTTGCACTGACTAATATTTTTATTTTTGAAGCAGTTGTTGCATAATATGCCACTGGATCCTTCGTTATGCCTTGTTTTTAACACGACAAGAAAACCGACATTGACTAAAAATTCCAATAGAATGTTCCAAATTATATGTTCTACGACAACACGAAGGGATCACGCTCTGGTGCTCGTGTCGCGAGCAGCCTCGAGCAAAAGCGAGATCGCGGAGATCCATTTCGTGTTTGACGTCTGGTGTCGCAGAAGTGAAACTATCAGCTTCCGCCCGCTGCTGGAAGCTGCTGCTTTTCTTCCGTTCTTCTTCCGCGTCAAGATGCTGGAGCAAGCACGAACACGACTGATGCTCTCGTCTTATCAAGTAGAGGCTTTTCCTCATCTATCTTCATGCTGCTTGTTGACCGAGAAAGCCACCAAGACCAAGAACATACTGTCGCAACCTCCTGACCATCTGCGGGGCGAGCGACTCCTTCCGATCGAGGACGAAGGTGGCAGAAGTTGCGCTTCCGCCGTGCGTGGTCATGCAGAACAAGATCTAAAGACCCAAGAGACACTGTCACAATCTCCGTGCCACCCGCTGGGGGAGCGACTTCTTCCGATCGAGGACGAAGATCGCAAAAGTAGTAGCACATCTATCCTGCGTGGTCATCCAGAACACAGACTAAGTCTTCATCTGCAGAGTGTCGACGAGGCCAATCAACTTGAGCATGAGGCTCGTTTTACAGCTTCTTGCGATGAGGATCTCAACATCACTCCTCCATCCTACGCCGACATCGTGAGGAAACCACGCAGATTGTCTCAACGTCCCTCAAAGCAGTGCTTTACTAGTATCTGTAAGGCAACTCCGGTTGACCTCAACGTCGCTGCATGCCCAGAAAAGCCATCGCTTCAGATTTGCAAGAATGAAGCGGATTATCTTCCTTTTTATAGTAAAAAAGTATCTCCGTCACTATCTCGCGCCCCCTCTAGAAACACTAGGAGAACGAGCACGAGTACTACTATTATTTCGCCTCGTACCAGGCTCGTCTGTCGCTTGTCTCCTGGTACGAGAACGATCGCTAGCACTAGCAACAACACTATGGAAGGCAAACGCGCTCTCATTCTCACACTACGGACGGAAAATGTTTGGAATTTGCAGGAGATAAGAATAAGTGACTGAGAGTATTTAGGTAAGTTTAACTAACTAGCTAGTTTAAGTGGCTGAAGTCCCCATCCCTCCTTGTCCCGCCCCCTGAGTGGGTCGGTCTTTTCCCAATACCAATCCACTCAACCAAACCACCCTGCCCCGCAGCCTCTCCCGCAGCTTCCGACGATGTGACTCTGCTGCGGGTAGTCTGCTTCCTTTGGTTGTGCCCACAACAATAGAAAGCTGACGACAGCCCCAGCTTTCTACTGTTGTGGTGTCCGTATAGTCTACCTTACCGCCAGCGGCCGCTCTCTTGTCCGTGTGTCGGTTCAGGTTGCGCCGCCGATTTTGGAACCACCTGAACAAGGAACCGGCGTGAGCCCGCCGCCAGGCTGGTCCCCGCGATTTTAGTGGTGGCAACCTTGCCCGCGGGCCGTCGCGTTGTTCATATGGGCGCAATCTAGCTAGGCGGACCGAGCTGGCAAGGTCTTGGCCACTAGTTGACCCAGATGTGATGGGAAACGTGAAGCGGCAAGGCCCACGACCTTCCCTCGGAAGCGCTGGAGAGAAGTCTGCGGCATGTTTCTAGTAGTGCCTGCGCGCAGCCGTCAGAGCTTGTCGCATTTTGATCCCCAGGCCTCACCTCTCGAGTGGATGTCGACACCTTTGGCGCCCTTTTGAGGCGTCGCCCTAACTATGGAGGAAAGGCCGCCAGCTGTTGGCCCGCTGCCGTTTTCTGCTGTTCTCAACTCCGCGTCTTGCCTCTTCAGTTGGGGTCGCCGGTCTCTCTGGCTTTGAGAACGCACAAGACGGCAAGCCCCCGAGATCTGTGCCTCACGGTATGGCCGAAAAGTCTCACTTTTTTGCACGTTTCGAGCGCTGCTTTTATCATGCTGGGGGGGCTGGCCGACGGTGTCGCCTCCGCCGGCCATACCGTGCCGGCCCATCGTTCGTGAGTCGATTCTTTCCTCTGCTGTTGACTTCGTCGACAGCCAAGGGCCCAAGCCAAGGGGCCGGCGGACTGAATCTCGCAGCCTTCAAGACCAGCGACAACAACTGCGCAGGCGTGTCTGCCTTGCCAGCGCACTACTTCAGGCCGCACTCCACTGACTTCGATGGCTTGAGCGTGGTGGCTTGCTGGCTGCGTGTTGGTGACATGAACGGTAGAACTTGGGCGGCTGTGCTCCTGGTCTTGCGCCTTTCCGCCGCCAAGAGGGTGCCGCGGCTCTTTGCAGATCCAGCGGAAAGCGCTGCGGGTGAAGCGGCTGGAGCCGAAGACGCTGGTGGGCTTGGTGTTGGTGCTGGTGAGGTTTTTGCCGCGCCACCTGTTGACCTTGAGGGCGCTCTTCTCTTCGCTGGCTTGTACCACAAGGCGAGCGCCTGGCCCCAGTTCGTTGAAGAGAAGGCACAGGGAACGAAGGGGCACAGGCGCAAAAGAAACAGAGGGCAGGGCTGCGCCCATCGTGGCGCCTGATTCTGGATTTGTGTTGGTACTTGCATGCGTGGCAGCACTCCTCTGAAAATAGAAGCAGACAGATGGACAGAAAAACTGGCCCCAACTTCAACAACTTGAACGAAAGGAAAACTTTGCGCAAGCTTATCCATCAAGCGCCGCAGGGGTCTCAGCCAGGCGACTGAAATTCGTAAGGCGTGCGCGCCAAGAACTGCGGAACCCCCCAGCGGAAAGCCTGAGGGCTGGCGGCCTCTTGTGGCGGTCGCGCTGCTTGCCTCCTCAGAATCGGACAGGCCACGGAGGGACGCGCTTGGGGCGTCTGTGGCCGTCGCCCAGGGAAAAGGGCCCCAAGTCTGCCGCTTCTAGTCCAGGCAGGTGCAATAAATTTGGCTCGAGATGAGGCCATGGACTCAGCGATCGGCGCCGGCCCCTGCCGTCACTCTCGCCCTCGGTCGCTGAGTCCACTTTTTCTGGCCTCTTTCGTTTCTGGATCTGTTGCAGCTTAGTATTGAGCTTGGGGGCCCGGATTCAGCGCAAAAGTGCAGAGATGGAGAATGTATGCGCACCATGCCGGGCGGGGTATGGCTTGCGCCTGTTGCCCTTCGTATCTTTGGAGGCCAGCCGCCGCGTCGGTGTGAAAGATGGCCGCGAGATCTTCGCAAAAAGTTGCCTGGGCTGGTCTTCGTTGTCTCTGTGTTTTCAAAGATGGAAAAGGCGCCGGCGTGGCTTCGGGTGCTTTGCTTTTGTGCTGTGTTTCTCTGTTGTTGACAGCCCTGACGCCAGGTGGGTGCGGACCACCCGCACGCCATTGGCATCGGCGCCGCCTGGAATATATACAGCCGCGGCACGCTTGACGCGCAAGCCTCTCCCTCGAGGTGTAGAGGACTTGGGCGGAGGACAGGGGAAACGCAGGCGGGGCAGCAGTGGCAAAGCGGGGCGGCGTTGGCTGTCTTTCTGCGCCTGAACGCCTGAGGCGGCTCTCCGTTTTTTTTCTTATTTGAAGAAAACAGTCTTGCCTCGGGAAAAGCTGGCGGGGCCTTCTTTTCAGAAGAATTTCTGCGGGGTCTTGTCTTCTGAAAAGATAAGCGCACGGCCACGGAGTTCCAACATTGTCAAAACTTGCAAACTTTCTGCAAACATTCAGCGAAGACTCTGGGGCGTTTGTCTTCTGTGTTTTTTTGGTGAGCGAAGGCATGAGACTGGAAGTGGATCTCTGGGAACAAGCTCGCAACAATTTGCAACGGAACCGCAGACGCCTCCGCGCTCGCTCCTTGTCTCTGGTTTTTGTGGTTTCTCTGTTTCTCTCTCCAGGCTTGGGAGGCCTCTGGTGTTGTGCATTCGTTTGAGAATTTGGCGCGTGGCTGCGCCGCGGGCTGGTTCGTCGGCTTGTGTGTGATGCTCTCGGTGCAGTGATTGGCTTGCTTCTGTGGGTGTGGCTGGGTTGTGTCGGTTTCGTTTTCGAAGCTCTTGCTGGCTTCGTGTTAATGAGACAAGGACAAGGGCCGCGCGCGTGGGCGTCGGCCTCGGCAACTCTCCGCCAAGATTTTCCGCCGCCCGCCGGTGACTGTCGGGCGCGGTGGTCTCCAACAAAGAAAAGCACAGAAGTGGGGGAGGTCGCTGGGCTCGCTTTTTGTGGAGCGTGTGGGGCGCGAAGGGTCTTGGGTGCGGTTTTTACTCCCCCTGGCATGATGCGCGCGCCCGCAGTCAGCCTTGACCTGGGAACGCCGCCCAGGGCCTCCCACCCAGGCACGTTGGTCTTGGTGCCTGCGGGTCAGCGCTGGAGCCCTTGCCAGTGGCTGCCCAGCCGCATGGCTTGGCCCTTTATCATGGGCCAAGGCCACGAGCGACTCTTGAAGCCGGCGCAGCCTTCTGCCCTCGCTGAGGGTATCCGAGTTGTTTTCCAATCGGCTGAGCTGCTTTCTGGCACCTGGTGCCCGTTACTTGCTTCTTCTGTCTTGGTGTCGGTCTTTCTTGGCAGGGCAGTAGCGTGCGGCTGGATGCTTCTACAACTACACACTAAGAGTAAGAGAAGAACTCTCTTCAAGGTGTTTCTGGGGTTGGGCTTGGGGCTAGTTTTTCTTTCCATAAGACAACGACGGCCCAAGCTGCAGGGTCGCATCGCTTGCGTTCAAGCGCCGCCCCTCCGCGTGCAGATCTTTGATTAAGCATGACCAAGCACCCCTCTCGCCGCTTGTGCCCCTACTCCGACCCAATTCACCCCGCGCCCAGCCTTTTAAAGTAGCTAGTTAAAGTTAGTCGCTAGCTTGTGAAGATTCAGGTGAGTGGACTGGGAAACTTTTCGTTGATTATTTGAAGAGGATGAGAAGGGCCTTGCCTTCCATAAGCACACCAATTACAGCGAGGCAACGCAAAGAAAGCCATCAAGGCCATCTTCTGCTCTCGACCTCGACACCCGCGCCCAGTAGTTCTGACGACACTGAGCCAGCAGGGCCAGAACATGAGTACGACTACAAAGCTGTAGAAGGTGTTGACGACGACTTTCGCACTTGCGATAGTAGTTCCACTTCCAGTGCTGCTCTTGCGGCCGCCGAGTCAATAGAGGAGAATACTCCGAACTTGGAACGCTTGAGCCTGCTGCTTCAAGAGGAAATCGCGCGTCCAGGTGCCTTTGAGCGGAGTGGGCTTGTGCTTGAGGACGAGGCCTGGCGGTCTTTGGTGCAGAAAGAACGAGAAGACCGAGACACTGCGCCAAAAGTACTTCAGTCTAGCTTTATTTTTGTGGACTAACTAGTAGATCGCTGCAGGTAATTGGACGGCAGTGATTCTATTTTGTCGAAACAGTGCCTGTCTTGATGGTCTTTGTTGTAACTTCACATATTGCGAATCCCGCTTCTGCATCTTGCAGCTACAACAGTCGCACTCTGTTACAACCTCAAGGAAAAGCACGCGTTAGCGCTGGCTTCTTCAATAGTTAGAAGCACCAAATAAGTCAACTTCAGCACCTGCTTCCGCAGTTTCAAGAGTGATCTTTAACTTATTTTATATTCCAGGAACTTTGTGAGGACTCTTAGGTTGGCACCTTGTCTCCTCGTGCTGGGAGCTCTGGGCTGCAAGTGGTGCTTATGGCCCAGAGTCCTGACCACATCCCCCAATTACTAGTCGGCTAAATGAAGAATTGACAACCAGCATGATCATCCTCCCCCTTCTCTTTCAGCGTGTGCGCTTAAGATTAGTTCTTCTATTAGCAAGGAGAGTAAATTTGAAAAACCTACAATCTGTCTCATACTCCATTATTTTATATTCCAGATTGTGAATCCACCGCGCTCGGGCTCGCGACTGACGACGCAGGAGCTGCCCTCGTCGCTGTCTCGTGTTCTGGCTGTTTCGTCCACCACCAGCCTAATGAGGGAGGCCTGCCACAACAGGTTTGGAGCGTTGTTCTCTACTATGGCAATTTTGCCTGACGATGGCGAGGACGAAAGCAAGAAGAATGAAGAGACGTCCGGCACAGTGTGCCGCCCCACAACAAAAACAAGCTCCCAACTGGCCACGGAGAAACAGCAGACCAAGGTGAGCAAGAAAAAGCAGATGCTGAGTAAAAGAAGACTCGCCGCTTCTCGTAGGTCGCTCCCGTCTAGTACTACTTTGCCGACCCTTTCAGAAGCAGCGCCATCTTCTTTGCGATCGGCAGTCCATGACGATGCCGATGCCCCGTCTTCATCTTCAAGGAACGGCATTGGACTAGTACTAGTAGACGAACAGACGGGCTACGCCGAATCTTCGTCTTTTGCACCTCCGGCGCCTCCGTCTAGCTCCTCTGGTGCATCTAAGTGCCTTCGTGAAAAGAAGGCCAGTCGCTGCGAAGCGGTAGCAGTCTCAGTGGCTCGCAGGTGGGTCGCCAATGCTGGCGCCACAGTTGCCGCTCACTCCTCCTACAGCATGAACATTCGCAAGTGGATCCTCAGCGCTGGCGCGACGGTGGCTCACTCCTTCTACAACACTCGCAAGGGAATCGCCAACGCTGGCGCGGCTACTGGTGCGCGCTCCATCTGTTGGCATTCATGCAGACCCAGAAGAAAGCAACCTCCTAAAAAGCGACTGCCTCCACTAAGACTACTGCAGCAGGAAGAGCACGAGACCAAACCGAAGGCGGCTGTGCTGCGAGGCGCTTGCCGCGGCTTCTTGCGTCATCTGCTTCTACTCCTACTACCGGTCTTGGCGGTCGTCGCATACCAGCGGATGGAAAGGCTAAAAACGGCAAGCACTGCGGACGCCGACGCAGAAACGCAAATAATAGCACGCGCGCGCTCATTTTTTAACGAGGTGAAAAGGGGTTCGCAGCTCTTTAGGAGCAACTATTTGCGGTTGGAAATACCACAGGCAGCGCTGTCGGAATGGCGACGCGATGTCAACGCATGGATGCAGAACCGCAACCGCGCGGACCAGGACCAGGGCCAGGAGCTGCAGAACAGAATGAAAATGCAAAAGTCAGCCCAGGAGGCACTTGCAGGATGTATAGACGAGCCGAAAGAGATTCCCAGTACCACTGGAGGAGAGCAGGTACATATAGGAGATAAGGTGACCTCATCCAAATGCGCACTATATGGCATGTATCAAAGCGAAGAGAAAACTCGTACCCAAAGAGCTCAGTCCCTCTATTGGTAGGCATCGCTGAAGCTGACTGATAAGTAGCGCCTGCGCTTTGCTGGGCGGCTAGCTAGGATTTGTATACTCAGACTGACGCGAGCAGTATCGCAGTAGCTCAGACGTCCTCGGCGGCGAGCATCAGATCGGAGACCGAGAGCGACGGACTGCGACTGCGGTCTGTTAATTCAGCGGCCTTTTAATTCAGTGTAAACTTGTTTGTACGCGCATCAGTTTCAGTCGGGAGGGGGGGCCTTGAATGCTGAGCAGGTCTAAGACTGGCGCGGTCTCTGTGTTCATGTGGTCGGTCTTTTTGATTTTGACCCGGTCGACCTAGATTAGATATAGCTAAAAGTGGACAGCTCTTACCTTCTCGCCTGAATTAGAGGGCGCCCGACTAGCTATATTAGTGTAAAATATGAATGGGCATCAACGAGCTTCGACTTCCGGAACTGAGCTGGGGACTCGCTTCAGCTTTTCGCCTGGCCAGGCGAAAAGTTGGAACAACCTAGCCGAAAGAATTGCCGGACTCAACACTTCAAGAGTGGGGCCACTCGTTTGCAGCTTCCTCCAGGGGCTCAGGCTCCATAATTTTCGGGCGGATCTTCAGAACCTTTGAGCGCGACCCACTGCAGCTTCGCTGGGGCTGGGCCTCTTCGTCTGCTGTTCGGCCTCTTGCGAATTCGCCTGGCCCGCGTTTCCTCTTCTGTTCGAAGAGTTGGCATCATCTCTAAAACCCTAGGGAACCCTTCGACAAAGCCTCCCGCCATGCTTTCCCCCGCTCCGCCGACTCTGAATACCATCTGAAGAGACAAGCGCCGACCGAAGGAACAGGCAGGCGGCCTGCTGAGAATCTCGAGGAAAGTGAGGGCGAAGGCCAAAAGTAGTGAGCGCGATGCCCCCCTATGAATACCAAGAGGGACCAGGCCAAGCCCATTGCCGAAGCCCGGCGCAGGGGAGGGGGGTGGACGTTGTGTCTTTCCGGGTGAATTCTGTGGAGGGACATCGAGCAGAGCAGGAAGAACGCGCAAGAGACTTGAAACGAAGAGAGGCGGCGGAGACACGCGAGAGGCTGCTACGACCAGGGGGAGTGAGCCTTAAGACTAGCCATAGGCATCCAGTCGGCAGCCCTGGCAAAGGGCTCTAGCGTGAAGTCAAGCACTATCGCGGCAAGCTCGGCTCCCCGGCCATCGAAGCTCCACCTCCCCCACCTGACCTGTGAGACGACGGCCGCTGACTTTCTGCGGCGGGCAAGCTGGATGCGAAGGATGAAGTAGCCGCGAAAGAGGCGCGGCGGCTCTTAGACGCAGGAAGGCTCATCGATTGGGGTACGAAACGGACTGGCTAGCGGGCTTGTCAAAAGCACGCGGCAGCACCATACCCAAAGCGCAAAGCGTGCGCCGAGTAAGCGACTGGCTGAGAGTGGGGCTGAGTGAGATGCCACGGGAACGCTGTCAAGCGCTCACCTAAAAGATGAGGAGCCCAAGGCGCTTCTTGCCGGTTGGGTGAATAGTAAAGCGCTGAGAAAAATGGTCGGCGTTCTTATTGTGTTTCCGCCACCAGCTACCAAAACGAGACCACCACGAAAGTAGGCGAATTATCGAAGGGAATGGAAATCGTACCAGATCAAAGGAACTAACGAAAAACACTACACACAAACGGAACACGCCTGAAGTTTAGGCGGCGCCGCACCTCGTCGGGGTCGGATTCCGAGTCTGACAGTAGGCCCATCCCGTCGCCCGTCTTGTCTGCTCTTGTTTGCATCCGGATGCAGCCGGGCAAAGTATTGGAATGCTCTTGGGATGTGAAGAAGTACACTGAAAAGGATGAGGCTGGTGGTGGATTCTGGGAGTGAATTAAGTGAGGGGAGTGAGAGGTGAGCGTGGTTGTTTGAGTGGTTCGCGAGATGCCTGCGCGAGTGGGTGAAGTGACCGGCTTCAGTGGGGGCAGAGCGGTTTGGTGAAGTTTCTCAACAAGAAAAAGGCATCCGGCATGCAGAATCGAACGGGCATAGTCTTGCTTTGTCTATTTAGATGCGATGGCGGCTTATTCATTGCAGTAGCTAGTCTTTCTAGAACGTAAGCGACAGCTGTAGGAGTAATTAACTACGTAAGCTAAGTGCCACAGGGTAAAGCTATGGCTATCTCTTAGCTCTTATGTAGTTTCGATACACTAGCCCCCGCTCTTTCCGCTTCGGCTCTGCGGTGAAGATGGAGGACGTTGCACCCAAGAGCGACCCTGTGGCTCTCTTTTGTGGTGTGCCGCTTCCTGTTCCAGCGTTGCGAGAGCTTATGCTCCTTCCGCGGGTGCCGATGCGCGCTTCTGGGTCTTACTTGATTCACTTGGTCAAGTTTTGGAAGTACCTGCAGACTGGTACGGGGATGGAGGGGACTCCTAGCGAAGCACTACAGAAAAGCGTTGGGGATGAGCTTGAGGAGATGCGACACTTGTGCTGCGTCTTGCTGTATGGGCATCAGAAGAAAGCAGTGGCGCGCTTTTTGCGGAAAATAACTGGAGAAGAGAAGACCAGCTACTTTTCGCATGCCGAATTTGATGGCGCCAGCGTGTCTAGTTTGGACCTGTGGAGCAACAGCAAGCGGCTGGCCCCTCATGAAACTCTTCTAGTTTTGCGCTGTCTCGTACGTTGTGAGGGGTATTGGACCTTGCAGCCGCTGGGCCAAATGATGCGCTCTCAGTCATGACTCGGAAGCAGTGACGAGGGAGATCCGCTTCCACGCGGAGCCACATCGAGTTCTTCTGCGACGTTCTGGCGTGCCCATCGATGGCGTTTTTGCCCTTACTCATTATGCCGGTGACGGGGCTTCGTTGAAGGCCATGGCGTCGGATATTGTGGCTTTGCGCGAGCACTTGCCAAGCAGTCCTGTTTTGGATCCGGCTGATGCGCTTTGTGACCTCGCGGTGGTGTCGCGGTGTACGCCTCACGCGTACCGCCTTGCAATTAAGGATGGCCTCAAGCTGGTGATGCTCGGCGAAGCAGACGAGGGGGCCATGGTGCAGATCACTCGTTCTGTGAACAGCAGCACGCAAGTGATACGGACAGCCATTCATCACTTCGCCCAGCACTTCAGGGCGAAGAAGCCGCTGGACCTTTCTAGCGTTTCGCAGTGCGAGAACTTGGCTGATTTCCGTGCAGGAGGGTGGAGACCAGATCTAGGAGAGAGGATCAAGAAATTGCAGACTCGCTTCGTTGGTGGCCTCTTGTACACAGCAGGCAGCTGGGGAGACACTGACAGCTGCCTTGTCGAAGTGTTCAGTCCCCCTGGAATTCAAGTAGGGAGATTTGGGGAGGCTGTGGACGCAGTAGGGCGCTACTGTCTTTTCAATGTCTTAGGGTTATTCCCACAGGCGTGCGAGCTGGCTCTAGTAGTACAGACTAAGGGGCATGACTTGAAGTCGGCCCTCGGGCATAGTAGTATGACGCCAAAGGACTTCATGGGTAGCATGTGGCAGCTGTTGCTGGGGCTTCGTGTTGTGACAGCGATAGGGCGCAAAATCTTGGCTGACCCCAACACCATACCAGTGGATCTTACTCGGGATGTAGTTGAGGCGAAGACGAATGAGGTCTGGAGTCTTCAGTGCGGGGAGGTGGCTTGCAAGTATGCTGAGCAGTGCACCATACTGGGTCAGTACCCGTACCCGCAAAACCCCTGGCGTCTGACGCAGACGCCAGACTTTTGCCAAGTCTCAGAAACCAATGAGGCGTGGCGCGAAAGTCTGAGCGTCTGACGCAGAAGTCAGCCTTTTCAGAGTTCCCTGGGAGCGATAAAACTCCGACTACGCACTCCGGCGCCCGTCATGGCGCTTTCTGTTGGAGCTTCGTCCACAGGTCGTTGGACGCGTCGGCGGGCCGTGTGCCGGTGCTTTTGGGTGGGGGGTTCACCTGGCAGGCTCGCGTGGCAGCTCTTCGGCTTCTTGCCCATCGGGGTGCCTGGCTGTGCCTTCTCGTTGGATTTGCAGTTGGCGGGGCTTGTCGCTGCCTGCCTGGGTGGCGGGCGTGTCTTACTTGCTGTGGCCGGGGCTCGGCTGATGAGGGGTAGCCGTAGCGCGTCCGACTACTTTGGAGATTCTTGTGCGCTGGAACGGGAGCCCGTTTAGCTTGATGGGCCGTCGGGCCTCGGGGTCGCGGCTCTCTGCGTCTACAGGTTTAACTAGCCCATTTGCCTCAGTCTCCCTTACTAAAGATTTTCCGCTGAAAAGGCATGCTTTTCCCAAAGTCATGTAAAATTTATCTTAAAGTGAGGGGGTGGTGAGTGGCTCGACCTTGTGTTGTCGAGGAACCACCTGAAGAAGCGGCCACTGAGTTGATGGAGATGCGCCTGCATTGAGGTCCCTAGCGCTCTTACCGTAGCAGAGGCGACGAGACTCCTTCACCGCTCGGGTTCTGTGTCTCTCGATTATTGTCTGCCAAAGCCAATCAAGACAGGCCTGCCAGTCAATGGATGCGCATGGCGGCCAGAGTGAGAGCCTCGACTGAATCAAACTCATTGCGGGCGAAGGACGCAAGAGAAGAACGAAAAGCGGCGCTCAATCGGTGAAGAGGAAGAGAGGCGCCAGGCCATCAGCTGCCAACTTCCTGCCCCGCTGCGCCAGCTCTGCTGCTGGTCTCTCTAGGGTTGTCGGCTGGGTGTGCGGCCCTATGCTCCCCCAGTCTGTAACCGTTTCATCGGTTCACTTAGGTGCTCGCATTTCAAAGGCGGGGGGCAGCGCGTAATCTTCTACAAAGATGAAGACAAATAACAAAAAAAAAGGATCTCCTTGGGGGTTGAGATAATCACGAAGGGCCTTCCGCGAGCGCCAGAGGAGTTCGCGATCTTCCCCTGTCTTCGTCTTGCGCGATGATGTGGGTGGCGTCTGTTAGATTTAAAAAGTTTAGAGCTTTGCTTCAATGGATGGGCAGACTTTTGCAGCGTGTGTAATGCAATCAAAACGGGGAGAGCGAGAGCGTCCCATCGCTCTCTTTCGCCGCTCTCTTTACCTCCTGCCCGCTCTTAGTAGAGTGATGCGCCTGCTCAGTCTCAGGCATAGGGTAGCCCCTTTGGTTGGGGTGCGCCTTCTGGTTTCTGTTTTTCTTTTTGGTTATTTTATGGCGATCATTGCGGAAGCGGAACGCGGTAGAGGATGGCGCATGGGGCGAAGCTTGAAGGCCTTATACTTTAGATAGTGTAGGCTCACCAGTGTGGTCACATGCTATGGCTGGAGAGTTCTCAGCCTCAGAGACTCTTCATGGGCCGGCTCACCGTAGTGCGAGTGGGTCCATTTAAGTTCGTGGCTTCGCTTTTCGCGCCGTGAGTTCACCCGCGTGCTATCAAGTGCTATGGAGCGCAAAAACCTACTGACACTCTAAACCACTAAATTTCTTGAGGCGTATGAGGTTCGTCCAGGGCAGCTGAAGCTAGCAAGCTAGTTAACTAGATAGTTTAGGGGCCAACGAAGTCGACCCTGGTCGCGAGTCTCATGGAGGGCCGGCTGGAGCTCTGAGCAGCTGGACCGACGGGGCTTACCTTGGTGCTTCAGATGGGATCTGTGGCGAGAGTTTGGCCATTGAAGTGGGAACTTGTTCAAATGCTGGCGATGTGGCACCACCTCGAAACCTCAGACCTTAGTATGGATTTTTCTATTCTTAAACGGAATCGGTTGGCCCGTGTAATCGATGAAATCAGTGGCAACACCTTCAGGAATCGAGTCGGTCAGGCCTGCCGCGTTTTGTGTTCGATGTGCGACGCCTTTTCTTGTGCAAAGGGCTACAGGTATCTGCGTGCTGTGCTTGCTGCTTTTTCTTGGAGAACAGAGGGTCTGCTTGCTATCGTACCAAGTGCAGTGGCCCTCTGTTGCTCAGATGTCGCTGCTGAGTCGGGTCTTTTTTTTAGAGTCTGGCGCGATTAAATCGAAAGGGACTCGCATTCGGATTGGTCTGAAGTAAAGGGGAGGGGCTACTTCAGTGGCTGAATCGTCCAGACTTTCTCTCCCCTTTCCAGGTTGACTCATCCAAGGCCCCTCCCTGCGTTGGGCTGTTTGACTTCGTTTCAAGTTTGTTATTGCTAAATTTGCTACCAGAGACCTAGGCACAAGATGGCAGCCCCAGACCCTTACAAGAACACGGACCCAAAGCAGAAGAAGGCAATCGCCTTGCAGCACGTTAATGCCCTGCGGGTCTTGGGTGGTTACGTGGGTCCGCGTATCCGTATGACTCTCGTTGCGACTCTGAACAACGTGCGCCAAGAGGAAGGCGGGCAGCTGCCCTTGGGGAAGGAGAAGCTCGGCGGGCCCACTTATAGGAGTGCACATCTTCCCTATTTATGCCCTGCGCTGATTATGATGGGGCTTGCTTCAGAGACAGCCTACCTCATCGATTTGGAGAGAGTTGCCTCCTAGCTTAAAGCTTCAAATTGGTAGGCCAGAGGTATCGAAATCACAAAGCAAAAACGTGGAAGCGGTAGCAGTTTCCCTTCGATGAATCACTTTCAACCCTTTTACTTTAGCAATTTCTTATCCTCCTGATCAGATGGATGCGCTGACATTCTTCCGAAGCACCACGCCCGCTGGATGGCCCGCAATACCGCGTGGGGCTGGGGCTACACGAGGCGCCAGGAGGTTGCTACCAGTGACAGCATTGCTTGGGGAGTGTGTCGCGCTCTCGGCGTGACGAGTCCGCACGTGTCAAGCGTTGAGGCTTAGAACATGCGCTGGCGAGGTTGTAAGAAAAATTAACTGTAAGGATTCAGATGCGGACTCTCTACTACTTTCAACGGCCATGGGCTTCCGTTTCTTCTTTGGCTTTCTCCTTAATATTCGCGATCTTCTTGCTTATTCTCAACTTCTTCAGCCGCCGGCCGGCAAGGATCGCGGCTCGCAGCCTGATGAAAAGAGCTGCGGCGAGTGGGTGGGGAACTGCTGTCGCCGCCACGGCTCGCCCGAACGTGTGCTGCAGGCTATGGCTAATGCGGTCTCGCTCAATGTCCTGACTCCGCGCGAACTGTGGCACCCCAACCGCGTCGCCAGGGCGCGTGGCTTTGATCGTGGCCCTGGCCCCATGCTGATGAACGTCCCGGCATTATCTACATGCAAGGAGAGATCGCTGCCTGGTCGTGCTATCTACAAGCTTGAAGGGATTCACTTTTTAGGTAGTAGATCAAAAAAGGGGAACGCATTGGAAAAGCGTGCAGATTTTACTTATTGCACCCTCTCAGATCTTCAGACCCGACCTCTTCGCGTCACCTATTCAAACCACCCGCCCAGAATGCTGGCGCGAATGTGGACACCTCCACGCCGGGGCAGCTTGCTGGTGGAGCCACTGCTGACAATACATCAGGCGCAGCCGCTCTGCTTGTCGTGATTTTGGAGGAGGTGGAGGGCCCGAGCACGTGCGGCGCCTGGCGCCAACTTGTTCAACGCTGGACCGTCGAGCCCCACTCTTGGCTTGTCTGCTTCTTCTTCTACTACTACGGCTCGCAATCCGATCGAGAAGGTGGCTACCATCAAACCCACGGACACGGTCACGAGTGAGAAGGCGGCCCTATTGATCATGCACATGAGTGACGGAACAGCTCGCACATCCATCATTGGCCCGGCCCCTGCGAGGAAAGATGAGAACCCAGAGGCGCCAGCCCGTGAGACTGATGCGTCTGCTTCTACTGAGGAAAACAGCAACAACAGTGCTGCTTCTGTTGGCGGGGAGGGTCCTCTCCTGCGTCTGGAGCTTCGTCGCAGCGCAACTCCAAGGAGAAGGAGCCGAGTGCCACTGGGCTGCGTCTGCGACTGCCATGGCCATCCTGGTGATCATGATGCCTCCTGCCGAACCCGAGGCGCGTGGGTGAGAGAGGAGGTGAAAGAGGAAGCGCAGCCGGCTGATGCGAAGCCCAAGAAGAACTCGGAGGCTAATAAATTCTGAACTGAAGGCCAAGAGCAAGCTGAAATCTCTGAAGGAGCTCGCCAACAAAGGAAAGGCGCAGCTGATGGGCTTAAGGCTGAGACGACTGAAGAAGCAGCTCCTGCGCCTAAGATGAAGGCTGCTGGAAAATCTAAGAGCAAAGTCAAGGGCGGGCGATCTCCTCCTTTTCACGACTATGCACAACAGCCATACGCAATAAGCTTAAGAAGGAAACGCGAATGGAATTGGGGCACTTCTTATGCATATGCTGAACTAGTTAAAGTTACCCACTTGAAAGGCAATTACCTTCCGGCGATGGGTCTATGAAGCATTTTGCAACTTGGCACGAAAGTAGACTACTAATCTAGGGAAACGCGTCAGAGATTGGCTATCTACTCGGGACGCTGTCAGTTATTTCAATATCGAAGGAAGACGCTAGAAGGCTTCACGAGAAGCAGAACTATCGGAATTAAGTGGATCAAAAACGTGCACGAGACAAATCGACACCCTTACAGTGAGTGGACTGCTATAACAAGACTACGGGGCGACATCTAGCGGGTTTTCTTATTCTTGAGTTGTGTTGTGTGGGATCTTCTTAGCGGTGAGGCAGCTACTCAATAGCACTTAGGGTTAGGAGGGAAGCTGTGGCGTTTCTATTGATGGCTTTTAATTGTGAACCAGTCCAACGGGCGACTTTTTAAAGACTTGACTCCGCTGCAGCAAGCCAGCTGGAGCCTGTCAAAGTGCTTCTTGGTTGTATCATCATGATGAACGTTCTGCACACCCATAACTTTGAAGCTTTTGCTGGTGCTTTGGCTGGTGGACTTCGACGCTGAAAGCCGCGGGAAGAGCGTGGGACAGAAATGAGAGAGAGAAGTAGGGAAGAACGAAGCTACTCGCGTGAAGTTCGTAGAGCTGCCATGGTGGAAGAAAACTGGACACAAAAAGCAACGCTGTACTACGGGGCGTGGCCCGCGTAGTGTATGCCTCGCCAAAGTGAGCTGACTACGCTATCCTACTAATCGACTGCGCTATCTGCTCTATCAATCCTATTTGAAGCATACCAGAAACGTGGCGCCTCTGTAGGTGAGTGAGCTCGCGGCTCCTGTCAGAAAACGTTAACGCTCATGCAGAACGTTGAAACTTTTGACGGGAGAGGGCTGGGGACCTCCCGCGAGTCCATGAGGCGCGACGCCGGAGCTCGCTGGAAAGAACAGGCGACGCAAGAGCCTGGCTTGTAATGAATAAGGGGAAACTTCTGAAGTGCCACGCTCTTGTGCTGAAAATACCCGCGAAAGTCTATCAGTCGAGTCGAAGGCTCCGAATGCTTCTGACTAAAATTCTACGCGATCTTTGGCAAAATCTTGGATGCGTGCTGCTCTGCTCGAGTCAAATCTTCTCGAATTCTCGTGCTTGTACTTTGATCATGTGTGAGAAATTTGAATGCCACTGCAACAGAGATCGTGAAAAGATTGCACTCCACGCAACTGAGCTCGAGCTCGCACGGTGTTCGAAATCTGTGACGAGTTAGATTGACTCGGAAACTTGAAGGTGATGCAAAAAGCCTGAAAGTTGTGGAAGGTACTTACGCGAGCTGTTCAGGTGCGGACTGTGTAGGGCTACTGCGATTTTTGAGTACTTAGCGAGGCCTGGCTGTGCGTCACACATGGCTCAGTCGTGTCACTGAATTTCACCGCTTCCTTTCAAACCTACCGACAGGGATTTGGAACTCGTTGAGCCTCGAAGAGTCTGCCGCTAGTCTTCGCATGAGAACGCACCTGAACGCTGGGAGACAATTGGGAAACTATTGAGAAAGAAAATAGTTGAAGCGTTTGAAAAAATCAATTTCGTGCTTGGTGAAGAAACTGGCTGAAAAAGAGTTGGAAACTGACTAACTAGCTAAAACTGTATGGGTAGCGCTCACATTGAGGCTAGAGACAGCAGAAAAGTGACGACCTACAGCAGCATGTGCCTGGCGGAGCGCACGAGCTTCCCAGAGCCCAAGGACGTGACCAGCTCGGACTTGCACTTGGTGGCCTTGTGTCATCGAGACCCTGAGAAGATGACTGAATACGGCAAGGCGGCCCTCTCGTTGGAGGAGATCGATGCGTGCTTGAAGTTCAGAACCTTGATCGTCAACAAGACTGCTATCCCGCACGCCGAGGCTTTGAGAGGCTTCGCCCGCTCTTGGATGGTGGCGGCTCACGTCCACAAGACAGCCGGAAAGTCTGGCCTGGCTAAGGCCTGGACGCGTCAACTTCTGAGCAAGCTCCCTGACGAATGGGATCGGAATCAGGCGGGAAACAAGACTGAAAAACGCGATCGCCTAGTGCAGGCGGCTGATCCGATCAACATCCCAGCCGAATTCCAGGCTGAAGGCTTCTGGCATGGGAACGCCAGACATGAGTGGAAGAGTGGAGTCTTGAAGGGCCTGCGGCTACCGTTGAGCAACTACCTTGGAAAGCGCAACGCCCCCTCGCCCTCTGAGAAGGACGAGGACAAGACGGGGGGTGGAACTCCATCGACAATGAAAACAAAAAGGACAACGAGAAACGCGTCTCGCCGTCCAAAATCTTTGCGGATGATCCGACGCAACTTGGAGGACAGGCAAACGCTAAAGCGTTTCCGAATGCGATGGGAGCTCGATTTCGACTACTTTTTTGCGATCTGTCTAATTTGAGAACAGCCGCTGATGGAAAACTATACAGGAAAAGGAAGAACCAGCCTCGCCTCAAAGTCGAAGGAGCTTGAGACACCCCACCACGACACAATGAAAAAATTGCAGGTCGGAGGAAGCGTGACGGGCTCGCCCTCGTCGGCGGGTTCGTCGACGGACCATGCTGTGGCCACATGGGCACAAGGCGCCACAAGTTTGAAGCGCCCAGCTGAGCGCTGAGGATGATCAAAAAGCGCCGATTGCTGGTGTGATGGAGCAGCTAACCAAAAAACTCAAGCTTGTGCCAAAAGAGCCGGAGACTGGAAACTAACAGGACGGAGAGCAAGATCCTCCAGGACGAGGCCACACGACCGCAATTACCCGCTGGCGCGGCTGAGGGTGCCAGCTTGGGCTTGCGCACAAGCGACCGCCTCGGCGACGTTGTCGTCAGCCCGGTGGTCTGCTCGCGCGAACCTGACGCGAATCCACCTGAAGACGCGAACTGGCCAAACGTGACAGGCAGGGAGCGCGTTTATGGGTATTACTGGATGGGTGATCTACTTTTGACACTTGGGACTTGATCTAGAGCTGAAAAATGAGAAGAAGAAGAAGGCTAAAAATCAGCGATGGCAGACGCTTGCTTTAGCATATGGGCTCGATTTGCACTCTGCAGCGCCTCGCACAGAAATAAAAAGCTACAGACTTGAAGGAAACAAGTCGACCTACACCGACATCGCCCTGCTGAACAACGGCGAAGGAAAATACGCGGAGCGCAGCTACGCGCTCTGCTGGATGGCGCTTGATGGAAATGCTGAGACCTTCTTGGGCCAAATGATCCCGACCCACAAGCAGACCTCGACGGCGCGAGGCTTGTGGGCACCAGCAAGCGAGAGGGAGACAGTCGACGACTTTGCGCGTATCGCGCCTTGGGTCTGGCTGTCGAAACAGTGCTAAAGTTTGATACTGCTGCGGCTGTAGATGCAAAATGAATAAAGAAGAAAAGACAAGGACTAAAAAACCAGCGGAAACTTGGAAAAAGGACGCACTTGCTTGAATGACCGCGACGGAAAAATAAACGAAAACCCTTGGAAAGGGAAAAGATGCACTGCTTCGAATGACCATGACACAAAAATCGCAGCACCTTCTGCCACCTCTTGGCATCGCAGTCGGAGGCTCACCGCCAGACGGCGAAGGCTGTTGCCTTGTTCTGTATGGTGAACGGAATCAGCTGCGAACGCAGCCTGCTCCTACGCTACGCGTCTGAGCAGGAGCACATCAAGGACAAGAGCATGACTCTGGTGAAGGCCCTCCAAGGCCCCTTGAGCCACGACCTACAGCGCTTTGTAGCAGCGCTGTTTTCCGCGGCCAAGACGAGGGTCTGACTGGAGCTCCCGCAACACTTGTGGCAGGGCTGGGATGTGCCCGCGCTCTGGAAGCTGACACCGCGCCGCATGACCGAACTCATCACGCTGGAAAATGCTGACTGGGGGAAGACGAGCTTTTTGTCGTGCAAAAAGTTACCGGCTAGCTAATTCGATGCCAGAGGGACTCTGACTAGAAGAAACTAAAGACAAGCACTAGAAGGAAAACAGGCCTACTTCGAAAACCGCCTGAGATGGGCTAAGAGCTACTGTGTCTGAAAATGGAAAATAAATGAAAACCACACAGCCGCGCGGCATTTGCGTTGGAGACGAGCAGAAGCTCGGTGGGGAAGTTCCTTGCGTACACGGGCGAGGCTGTGGATTTACCAACTGCCACCCAAATGGCGGGGGGCAACGCATACGCAGTCAATGCGTATCAAAAAGGCGAAATGGTGAGCCACATCCTCCCAATGTTGTTGCGCGCCAAGGTGAGAGGCGACGCTCAACGATCAGGGTGCAGCGCGCTGGCCTATCTATGTAGGGTGGAGCATGCTTATCGTGCGAATATCCAAACTCGCAGAGCGCTCTTCGGAAAAAAGCAGGCGCAAAAGTATTAGGCTTTGGATGGAAAGCGAAAATCTGGCGATGGCAAATTTATGCCACTCCACTTTTGGAATAGCCAAAAAATCTCTCTGATGAAGAAGCGGCTCCCTTGTGGGAATGAGACTCAGGCTATCCTACCTTGAGGAATAAAAAACTAACTGGAAGAACACCTTAAAAAAGCTGAAAACTAGAGCGAGGAACATGGTGAACCCCCTGCCTCAAACCGCTTCGGCAACATGGGCAATGGGTCCTCGTTTGTCTACGGACGCGACAACGATGAAGACTACAGCTACTACGGCCGTGGCAGCGGCTCGTCGTCGTCCACCACCACCACCGGACAGGGCGCCATCAAAGGCGCAGGACGAGGCGGAAAAGGCCAGAAAGAAAAAGGCAATGCCGATTCGCCTGGTGTGGTGCAAGGCTGTAGAACTTCTACTAGCATTGATAAGGGGCGCGCCTTCCTTTTCAGCTCGGCTATGAACATGCTCCCGCAGGGCGCGGGCCTTGACTTTGAGTCTGGTCTTTGGTGGCTGCACACGAATCACTACCAAACAGGAACTCAAGAGTTGAAGCAGCGCGGCATCACACCGGACCACTCGAAGTTAAGGTTAACGGTCGTGAACGACCCCCGCTACAAGTGGGAATGGTGTGACAACAAGAACGCCCGGCGCAAGTGGAGCGAAAAGCAGAGCGACTGGCTCTACGACTACCACGGCGTCTACACCGACGGAAACGGTGGACTACCGGAAGAGGAACTGACGAAACGACGCGAGGAAAAATACGCCAAGCGCGCCGCTGCAAAGGCTGGAAAGGCCGCTGACCCGGAGAAGGGAAAGGGTAAGGAAAAAGGAAAGGACAAAAGCGGAAAGAAAGGCTACGGCGATGCAGTACGATGAAAGTCACTCTGCTAGCGAAGGAACTCCTTGAGGGAGAGCACCACCCTAGCAGAGGAGATATAGCTATAATGTGGAATGAATAAGAATAAGGGAAAAGGAGAAAGCGAGCCTGCTGCTCGTGAGGAGATGAAACAGCAGGACCGAGTGAAGGAAGATGAGGATGATGAAGATGCAGAGGAGGTAGAGGAACCACTGCACTACGTCACTGTAGTGATGGGCGACTACTATGATTCGAAGCCGCTTTCTATGGAGACTCGTGCTGATATGAGTCACGTTTGAAAATGATAAGCGTAGCTTTGACTTGTAGAAAAAGCTTTCGTTTACTGAGGCGGACTTGAAAAAGACGAATGGTGACGCAACTTGCTCGATCACGGGGCGCAAGCTCAACAAAAAGCGCTTAGTCGCCGACGACGCCTGGACTGTGTCTAAAGATGGCCACCTAGAGAACTCTGCTGCGAAAGAGGTTTAAAACAATGGATGGCTTGGATTCCCACGCACGGCCTGCCCGGCGTGGCGTGTATACGGTAAATGCAAGGATGGGGGCTGCTCTTCAAAGCACGAACGTAAACCGTCGACGACGGCGACGCTTGCGGGCGTCTTGTCTTGGCAGGTGCAGAACAAGACAGGCTCCACGACTAAAAAACTTGAAACAGCCTGGAGCGATGTGAATTAAAAAGGATTAAAAACGTTGCGCCTACTTGTGAACCCCCGCGGGGGAATAAATTGCCTCACAAACATTCTTCATGAAATAAACGAGATTTCCACTTCTTCTGAATTTGAAGGACACTGCTTGAGAAAGAAAAGCGCGCCTGTCTATGCTGCAAGATAAAGAAAAAGCTCGGCAAGTGTATTATATATTGTCGAAAAGCCAACTGGGCTAATGCTAGATGGAAAAAGGATCTCGCTCAAACAGGCCTGGCGCTGAAACAAGTTGTGATCAGCTTCAAATAGAACTACGCGGCGTTTGATCTATGTGAAGGGAGCCCATATGCTAGAGCTAAAACTTGACTGAGGTACTGACGTGATGCATTGACAACACATGCGAATGAGAACAAGGTAGGAAAGCCTGTCCCTGCCCCTGCGGGAGACCGAAAAACCGGCACGACAAAAACAAGACTGACGAAGGGAACAAAACCCGCGATAGCTGTCTTGATGTAGATTTCTTGCAAATCGCGCTGGTTAATAATGAAAAAATACTCGCGACGAAAATGCTTGGCGGGAAGGCAGTGGCGTTCTGCGAAGATACGGCGAGACAGCACACGCCGAGAGACACGACGAGAGAGACTGAGTCTGATTCTGATAGCCGAGCGAAATGGTAGGCGTAAAAGAGTCTCTCGCTGAAAATGCAAGAAGGACTAGACAGGGACAACGTGCGAAATTAACATGGCACACTTACCGCTAGCCGGTGCGTGGCTGCACGCCACAACCACAAGCCATGCTCCAAAAAGACAAAAAATAGATGAGGACTGCAATTGATGAGCCGCCATGGCGCGCGGCGGGGGGGCCTGGAAGTGCATCCTCCTCGAGCGCTGCGAGCGCAAGCAGTCTTGGCCCTGCTATGCGGCAGAGTATGGCAGTGACGCCAACAATGCGGCTCGACAAGGCTACGACCGCAAAGGGCGACTACCGCCAGGCCCCTGCGGAGGTATATCTCCAGTGACGCGATTGCTATAGTGTTGCAATCGCACACCGAGGGGGCGAGGGCGCATTGATAAATCGCACGCACCGGCTCGAAGTTTTTCGTGACTACTGGAGGAACCAGAAACCGCCGACTGAGGCACCATATGAAGTGGAGCGCGTGCGCCTTTTCTGCCTATGGGTGGCGGGCACGAATGAGAGCTCCGATTTGGCGAGGTCATACGTCACGGCGATAACCTACAGCCTCTTGGTGCCGCCATTGAACCCCGACACGAATAGGCAATATTTCTGGATGGCAGACGCGCCACGCGCGGCGCGTTCCCTGGCAATCGCCAGTGACGATATAAAACGGGCCATCAACTCCTTTGAAAAGGAGAAGGCGCCGCTGATTGCAAAGGAGGCATGGGCAAAGCTCCAACCGCTGGAAAGAGCAGCCATAAGGTTCGGGGTGAGCCTTGGAATACGCTGGAACAGTGTCGAGGCTATTATGCCTCAGGACGTCGAGTCTCCGACACACCCACGGGGTAAGATTTCTGCACATATCACACGTGATAAGATTACTGCGGCAGCGAACAGGACGGCGCTCGTATCTTGCTGCTGCAGTGGGACGACAAAGAGCGGCCTCTGCGTCGTATGCGATCCGCAGACCAAGAAAATATCTTTCCCACTGAAGGAAACGAACGAGATCCGAAAGACACTGCAGAAGATAGGGGCGAGATTTCACTCCCCGCGAAGGACAGACGCCATATGCATATATGTGAGGGCATGCGTTGAGGCTGGAGACCACTTTGACTTCGGGAAATATATGCTCGAACGCGGGCGGACCGTGGTCGCGACATTTCTTGGCTACTGCGTGGACTACACGCATGCTGAGGCTGATCGAATGCTGCCAGCTCCCGGCGCACTGGAGTTGGGAGACATGTCGAGCAAGCGCATCTCTTTCCCGGGGGATAATTCGGAAGCCCACACTCTCCACGAGATGAACAGATCATCCGTGGACCTTGAAGACATGGAGACTGTCGAGTCTTTGCTATTGAGCAAAGAAAAAGCGACAGTCCCAAAATCGTTGGAATCAATGCTACAAATCCCGCTTGGACTTTTTAGCCGAAGGGAAGGTCTTACATACAGAACGGGAAAGAATTGACAACGAGGAAAGTAAAACCAAAAGTCAAGACCGTAGAACAACAGAGAAGAAAGGGCCTTTCCAAACCAGCATAGGCGACCGCGAGCCTGCTGAAACAGACTCAGAGTGCACCACTGCGGTCACTGGAGAAGCCCTAGTGGTGTCACGCGGCTACCTTTGGGGGGTTTCCTTTGTACGTGTGGCAGCTACCTGTGCTGTATGTGAGCCCTTTTCTATGCCCCTTTTTGTGCGTGCTTTGATGCTGCTCTGCCTCCGTACTCGCTTGGGTGACGGTGCCCGTCTGATGGGGCTGCGCTTGTGGGGAAGGGGTAGCGCTCGAAGGACACCACTGGCGCGAGCGTATGCCAGGCGCGGTCGGGGCCTGCGGAATTTGTATGTGTGAGAGGGGCTGGGACTCGCGGGCGCTGAGACCCAGCAAACTTTTGAGGTAGACTACCAGGGTGCCGGACTCTTTAAAACGACTGAAACCTTAAAACGAACTTGAAAGGAGGGGCACACTATACGGGGCGTGGCCCGCGTGGTGTATGCCTCGCCAAAGTGAGCCGGCTACTCTATCCTACTAATCGATTGCGCTATCTGATCTATCGGCCCTATTTGAAGCATACTCGACCTCGCCGGGATGGATGAAGAAAGACGCCCGAAAGTCCTCAGAAAAACAAAAGAAAAACTTGAAAACTCTGAAGGTGCGCACCTTGCAAAAATGACAGCCAAGGAGGGCACCACGATAAGGCGCAGGATGGTGGCCTCGTCGGTTTCTGAGATGTGGAGAGAGTGAGAGGGGGTCGGTGGTGGTTTGAAGATCTCCAACAGGTCAGAGGAGTCTTGCAGGTGGTGTCGCCCGATAGGTGGAGAGATGGGCAGCAGGCCTCGGGGTTCGAGGTCTTGCAGACAGTTTAGCCATGAGAATGGTGTCAGGAGAGAGAAAAGGAAGAAGAAAAAGACGAGGGAAAAAAGGAACCAAAAAAGAGAGGGAGAGAGAGGGGCGCAGGGTCTTTGGTCTCAGGTAGTAGGTAGATGGTGGGTCGGTCAGCTGAGAGAGCCTGGCACACGTGTGTGAGATGAACAGAAGCAGACCACAAAAGGGGGACAGAAAAGGACAGCAAGAACAAGGCCAAAAAGGAAGCCACAAAACGGCGAGGCCGCGCGCCTCCCTTGGGGCTTTTTAACCGTCTGGGGCTAGTTGATTAGATAAGTGAAACAGTAGAGCACAGGAATAAGCTGAAACATTTGAAAACGATGCGGCGCGACCGGTCCACCCTCTTGGCGGTTTGCTAGTCTTCTGGGCGTCTTTGTGATTCTTCCAGGGGAGCGAGCCGACCGAGGTTCGGAACACAGCCAGCGGCCGGACGGCTGGGCTGTTCGCCAGCAGCGCCACAAGGAAAGGCGGAACAGCTGCCAATATGTGTCCAGCTGGTGGCATCATGGGCCCTCGCGGGTTCGTCGCCTCGTTGCTTGTAGTGGTTGTGGGCCTCTTGGGCTCATTGGGTCTGCCTCTTGCGGCCATGGAGCTAGGTGGAAGCAGTTCCAGCACAGACGCCAGCGGGCAGTGATGTCCGCGCATTCTTCGACTCGAAAGACCAGCTTCATCCTCGCAGGCTGTGGAGGCTTGGGCGCATTCTTTCTAGTGGATGTAGCAAGAGACGCGGCACAAACCCGAGCAAAGAGCAACAAGATTAACGTAGTCCAATACAGAGCGGAACCCGACGGAACAACCACCCAGCAGCTGCACTTCCAGAGTGATGCTGTAGGTAGATTGAGAATCTTCGCGCATCAGATAGCTTAGCATCGCTCGCAACAGTGCAGCCCACTGCTGCAGGGGTGAACGGTGTCGGGTCGTGGTTCCTACCAGCGCACGCGGTGCTGTATCCGAACAGCGCGCAGTTTGGTGAAGGAAAGAAGAACAGGAAGAGCTGCTTGCGCGGATACTCAGAGGCGTACGAGATCGCGGACCAGATCTGGGCAACACATGACCCCGGAGCGTTCTTCTGTGAGATTCCCCGGCGCCATATGAGGGATGACGCGAACGGTGCGCAGCATCTACAAAGGGTGGCCGCTTCCAATATGGACCACACCAGGTGGCTCACAGTTCTGCAGGTCTGCACCCGGTGCATCGTCTGCGTGGCTTACTTCTTGGCAAGAGTCTTCTTCGGTCTTGGGCGAAGTATCAAATTCGGGCAGGATAAACTACCGGAGCACACCTCTGGCCCCAACTGGAACGATCAGACAGGCGCACAGTTTGTCTTCTGTTTAACGACGTGGCTCATAGCGATCATCATCACACCGGTGGAGCTGTATAGTGGTACCATGTTGAGCACTGACCGCAGCAAGAACAGACGGGGCGCCTACCTTGCGGCTGGAGTTCCATAAGCACTGGCGCACCGCCATGCTGTACCTTCTCAAGGGTGGCGAGGTGCTCCGAGATATGTCGCTCTTGTTCTGCACCATCGGGGTTCCGCGTTGGTTCTGTCACCAGAGCGGACCGCTATGGTATTTCTTGTTTTTAGGATTGTTTCAGTGTTTTAATCTGATGGGTGAGGGCATGGACCAGAAGAGAGAGCCAGAAGGGCTGGCGGGTGTATGCTCTCCCTGAGGACCATTGCTTTCATCTCGGACCGGTTGCGTCGTTGTGTGGATCTAGAACCCACCTGGGGGAGCTTCGGGCCCACTTGTGGGCCGGGCGCCCTCCAGACGACTACATCTTGCTCCCGTGTGATCTCTTCCCACCCATTTTACCCAGGTACATTTCCACAGGCAGGTGGCGCAAGTCGCTTTGTTTCACAGCATGGCGGTGCTGTGGTGCCGGGATGGGCTGAGTGAAGTCCGTGAGGCGTGGCTATGGCGGTATGTTGAGGACCCTGCAGCAGCAGAGCTCGAGCTACAGCAATGGGAGCCGAAATACACAGCAGGCGACCCGGGAAGTGTTGCGCTTCATTCTTTGCAGCTATGGCACGCTGGGCAACCTCAGCGCCACCGGAAGAACAGGCTCAAGCGTGCGGCTACGTTTTTGCTTGGAAGGGAGCGGGCCCAGAAGATGAACGAGCGCAAGATCGGAAGACTCAAAAACGAAACCCGCAGGGTAAAAGGTGGACTAAAGTCAACGCCTGGCGCTGACACAGCCGCCAATCGCTCGGACTTCCGGGCAGCAGAGGCCCAGGTGGTGAATGAGCTGATGCAACTAGATCGCCTTGGCCTGCCCTCATCAGATGGGGAGACCACAACCCGCAAACCGAGGAAGCAGCACTTCATGGCGCGGGCGATCGATTTGAAGCGCGCGGATCAGTATCATGACTCCGCTACGCCGGAGTCGAGGGACCCTTTGGAACGTGCTCGGAAGTTGAACTCATGGAAAAGCGAGCAGGAGCGCATCAAGTAAACTCGGATCGCCGACCAAAAGAACAAGCAAGAAGCCCAACATCTAGAGGAAGACCCATCTTCTGCCAGTAGTGAAGACGATGGGAGGAACCTTCTTCGCCCGAGGGCAATAGTGGAGGAAGAGACGCGGTTCTTTGAAACCGTTCGGGACGGCACCTCTCTGGAGTATGCTGCGCGCCGCGCTGATCGTACGAAGAGACTGGCACAGCGTTGCAGCTGGGTGCGTCAACCAATAGCGCGCCCAGATCCGCCGCCCATCTCCGTACACGGAAGGCCAGTGCTTGCTGCAGCCAGGATCCTCATGCGGTGGCGTCGTGCCAGGCGTAAGAAGCTAAAAGCGATCCGGGACGCTGAGGCAGAAGCACTCCCTGGCCAGCGAATAGAGCAACTTACTTTAGAGGGGGAGGAGGATAATGAGGAGGCTGAGACGCTAGGCCACGGCCTTGAGCCAGCAGAGGGCGACGGCGCTGAGAAGGCCTTAGAGTCCACCGGAATCAACATCACTCATCTTCTATGTCTGACATTAATCACCCGGCTTAGACGCATCGAAGCAGATCGCTGGCGTTGGTTTTTGATCACGGGCGTTGTGCTATCCCCTGCGTCGTTCAAAGCGCAGTGGATTCAACGGCGGGAGACTTTACCTAATGACGATGCTAGTTGTGGGCCTTTGATGAAGAGGAAGACCATCAGCTCCGACTTGGACGGCTCGGAGTTCGATTTGAACTACGTCTCACCCTTCTGGACAGTAGAAGTAAGACCTTCTGAGGAGTACACAGGGGCGGGCATTTTCTTGGGCAAGAGACTTCTTCTGCAAACAGAAGGAACAAAGCAGCAAGAGGCGGCGAAGACCGAACATCCCAAAGAAGTTGTAGCAACTTTGTCAGCAGCTGAGCGCGCAGAACTAGACTACAACCTTGGGCAAGCTTTGAAGCCTGCTTTTGGTGGTGTGGTGAATCCTTCAGCGAAGGACAGGGTGGCGCTGATAAGTCAAAGGCTAAGCGTCGGCCTTCTTGTCGAGAGTATCGACCCACCAATAGAGCAAGTTAATAATTCAGCGGCAGCAGCGTCTTCTTCTAGTTCTACCTGTAGTGGTGATAAATGCGCAGCCGCGAAACCTGGGAAGACACCGGAGGAGGAGACGTCTGCCCGGGAGTGCAATTCTTTCCAGAAGCAGCGGAAGAAAGCACAAGCCAAACTCTTGCCGGGGAGGATTGATGGGCTCCGCGTGGTCGAAGATACCGATCGCAGTCGCACAGCCGCCAAGTCAGCTGGCCGATCGATTGTGAGCCTCAAAGCTCGCGTCACTGATCCCCTACTGGCGAAGACGTTTCGCCAGCTTCTTCCAGTTCCATCACCTTACATGGACATGAAGTGTAAGGCGACAACCAATCCAAATCGCAGCCGCCGACTCGGTAAAAGCGACTCCATGTTCTACTGCGAGGCCATGCTGAATCTGTGGTCGGTGAGAACGCGGCTTGTGGTGGAGCGAGGGTCAACGCATGTGGTGAATCCACACGCTTCACCTGGTGCCAATCACCTAGAGCATCTCCGTGAGGCTTACAACTTGTACAGCGCTGACGTCAAAAGCTACGCGCTTGAGCTAGCAAATGCAAATGGAGACCCCAAAAAAATCAAGGAAGTGGAGGAAGAACTGAACAGCCCAGACTCTATGCTCGAGAAGCTTACTCCGATGCCTGTGGGGCACCAGTGGCACGGCTTCCCGGACTCAGAAGACTCGGATCTTGACTTGAGGAAGATGATGGCAAGATAGTGAGAAAACAACGTGGCGAGACGAGCTACAACATCCCACACGGAAAGGCTGACGCAGGTCGTTCAATGGGCGAAGAAGTGGAGCGCCTGCTGGCGTAGTTGGCAGATAAGTGTGGCAATTTGACGCTTCGGACGGTGGGTGTTAAGCTAGGGATCTAGGCGACAGCTTTCGCATTTTTGGCTCGGTAATAATTACAAGACAGCAGCTTTTTACTTCAGTAACAACTTACTTAATCAGGGAAATCAGTAGCACTATCTCAAATATTCCATGTTTTTAGGTATATTGGGATGAAGAGTGTAGGTGGGCTTACAGTGGCAGGCATTTATCAGAAGGACCCCAGAAGAAGAGGACCCCAGGGCCCTCTTCTGCGGGTCCCCCGACTGGCGCGCTGGCGCAGGCTTGGTCGGTCGGGGCCAAGCTTGCAGGAAAGTCTTTCGAAAGACTTTCAAGCGGGCTTTTGAAAGTCCTTTGGAAGTCTTTTGAAAGTCTACCACAGCCCCCCTCAGGAGGGCTTTTGAAAGTCTCACTTTTGTCTCGGTATGCACAGACCCTTCTGCCCGAGGGTCTGCGATATAGCGAGACTTTCAAAAGCCCTCCTGCTGAGGGCTTTTTGAGACTTTCAAAAGACTTTCAAACGTGTCTTTGGGAGGCTCTTTTGAACTTTCAAAAGAGCCTCAAGCAAAGTTCTGAAGACCTTCCCACGCCTCTTGGATGAGTCGTGGGAAGATCTTCACAAGACTTTCAAAGGCCTTCGCAGGGAAGAACATGGCGACGGATGCGAAGGCTCGCCAGGCGAGCCCAGTGGCGTGGGCAGCAGCTGTGGCTCTCCTGGCGAGCGCTCGCACCGAGCGTGGCAGGCTGCTTTTGGGAGGTTCTTGAGGCCCTTCCGAGGATCTGGCGAAGGCTCAGCGCAGAGTCTTCACAAGATCTTCAGAGCTTTGCGAGAACCTCCTTGCTGGTTGTCCAGAGGCGCGCTCCTCATCCGAAAGTCTGGAGAGGTTATAGTGTAGCTCTTACTTATAACGACTCGCTTTGATCTTGATGGCTATGGCAATTCGTCTGACGATTATTAGAAATTACATAACGACGTCTGACATCGCCGGAGGTAGTTGAAACTGTTAGAAGGAACGAGGTAAAGAGTATCGAACCACTTGAAAGAGACACGAGCGGCGTTGCTTATTATTTTGGTTATTTCGGTAGGGGTAGGAATTGACTAACGTTCGCCAGCTTCTCACTATTGCGACGGAAAGCGGAAAAGCCGGGCAGTCTCTAGTAGCATGCAAGACAATACCACAAGGAGACACCACTGCTAGAGCAGAAGAGCAAGCAGCTGATACGCCTGCGATAGAGGACGAGAAGGATTTAGAAGCGTGGCAAGCTCGCTGCATTTCACAGAAACGCACTATCAAGATCTGACTTGTGCGTCTGCTTTTTCGCCGTCTCAGGTCCACAACTCCACCGACACCCCGGAAAGCCGCCAGCTTAGAAAGAGAGACGACGAAAGACAATTTAAAAGAGCGCAGACTGTCCTTGAGTCGGATACCTTTGCACTAAGAACCTCCCTGAATTTCAACAGCGTGGCCAGCTTTTTGTGGTGGACATGATGACTCTTGACAACTTTCCCGCGCAAGTTGTAACAGATGCGAACGAAATAGTCTGACCATCAGTCACGCTTGTGCATTTTGGGAACAAGAGCCGCGCCTTTTTATCCAACCACCTGATAGCCGCACGAAGTCTATTGCAACTTGTCCCGGCAAGTACCAGTAGACCAAACTCACACGAGGCCATCTGCTCCAGACGTTGTGGCTTCTTGCTAGCTCGCCACGGGATCACTTTCGATCACCAACAGCTTGCAAACAGTGGACGCCTCATCATCTGCGTCTCATGAGTTTCGGCACATGCTTATGCTAATTATGGTGAAAAAGTAAATGCATGATTGAGAAAGTTTCTCTCTTCTACATAGTCTCGCAGTAAATGAATGGATAAGATTTAAAACAATACAATAAAAAAGTCCTAATCTAAAGCAAGAACTTTAGACCATCATCTAGTTGGATAATATTCAAAAATCTACGCGATGCCTGGCAACGCTGGTAGTGGAGGAGCGACCACGAAGGCGCGCCGCCTACAGCGTCACAATACCAACGACGTCGCAGCTGAAATTCGCGCAAAGACAGGGACTCCGGTACTAATATTTACTCTCGTTATTAGCTATCGTCGTCTATGGGTGTAATTTTTGGAGGGTCTCTACTCTGTTGCGTTTTCTTTGAACTGAGTAGATTCCGACTGTTAGCTTATTCTTGTAGCCCGAGCAGATTACAGAAACCAGCTGGACTAACAACAAGCATCAGCGGCACTCTCCTTCCGCTCAAATCATAAACAAGCCTCCGCCCCTTTTCACACTCTAAAAAATCTAAATTTAACCTAAACAGAACACCGCGGGCGTGATTTCCTGCACCAAGACGCTACGCAACGATCAGCAAAACGCCAAAACGAGAGCGATGGGCCGCATTGAGAGGCATGCGGAAGTGGAGGAGGCGAAGACTGAGGCGGAGCTTTTCTTAGAGCACGAAAAATCGACTGCAAAAGCTCTGAAGAAGATTCCGGGCCCCATTCGGGGCATCGTCACGGCTGTCCGTGCTGACAAAGTATCAGCCAAGGTCCTCGTGCTCAAGAAGGGCACGCTCGAAGGCACGGACGACGAGACGAGCAGACGGGTCGTGGTATTGATGTTTTTTTTTAGATGTAGGACGGTGGTAACTCTAGCGGAGATCTTTTCTTAAGGGTAGCAAAGAACTCCAGTGATGTTGTTGAAATTAGGTTTCTTATGCAGTATGAGCTACAGTTTTGCAGTCGCACAAGTTGTCACCCCATCAACTTCAGCTCTTGCGAACCCCTCTCAATTTTTCTAAATTTAAACCAGCAGAGTCATCTCGTCGACCGGTACAAAGGGATCAGCGATGAGCAAAACTGCTCGCGCGCTTTGGCGGCGGGCTCGTATCTGTCTCCGCTATTGCCGGACACTAACTGCAAGGTCTTGCGCGAGGTTGCTGCTGCTCATGCATACGCTGAAGGAGCGGCGAAGAGCTACAAGTCGGCTAAGGAGGCACGTGCGAAGAACTTGCAACAGCTTGACGCTTGGAACACTGGCAAAGGGCGGGCGTTTTGCATGGGCGCTACGTCAAACCTCCGCCAGCTTGTGCAAAGTTGCACGCTCATCAACACGGCCATCAAGGAGCAAAAAGTCGGCAAGTTGGAGGCGAAGCTCTTGCCACTTATCGACGGCGAGCCAAAGCCACTCAGTCCGCAACGTGTTTTCTTCTATGGCATCAAGACGGTAATTTTTCTCAACTACACGCTCAAACTTGCTTAGCTCTCAACTACATACTCCGTCGCTCTTCAAATATTTAACAACTATGAAACTCCTATAGTGAAAAGCTAAAAGCTGAGCAACTTTCTCTCCTAGTTCTCCCCCCGACGTTAGCAAATTTCAAAAACTTGCAACTTCTCCAGGCCTTGGCCACGGCAGCAACCGACGAACGCGCTCTGTTTGTGCAGACCGGCGCCACGTCTTGGCTGAGCCTGAACGTCGAGGAGGCGCCCGAGCTGCCCACGCTCGACGAGGTGAGCCGTGCTCTTGATGATTCCGAGTGCGCGGAGATGATGTTGTGGAAGAGTGTCGCCGGTCATGTGTGCCCGAACTGGTCCGGTGAGCCGAAGATGAAAGACCTGGCATATTTTTCGACTGATTTAGGTGATGTCGTGGGGGGGATGTGCTGGCTTTTTTTGTGGATGGATGAGATAGTGAAGACTTAGAAAAGCTCGCGAACTACTGAGAGCCAAAGCAAGTGCGCCTAAGTCTATAGTAGTCAAATACCTCTACCACCCAGATGAGTGGCAACATGGCTGCGAAGGTGAAGAAGTGCAGCAAGGCGTTTGGTGGCACCCAGCCCCATGCGGCGTTTAAGAGCCTCGAGGGGTTGATCACTCGCGTTCGTACTTGCGGCCAGCGTCCATGCGTGAAGATGCCTGGAAATGTGGCAGAGGGTTTGCCAAATAATTGCAGAAGTATTGTGATTCGGTTGGATCAAGAGCGAGCTGACAACGACGCACAGAAACTGATGAACTCGCTGAAGGCAATCGGTGAGATCTGGGACAACTACGACGAGCACAACTACCGTCAGCAAATCAATGAGATTAACGGGCTACGTGACGACTGTTGCTCCAAAGCGGTCAAGGATAGCGACGCCATGGCCCCTCTGCTGGAGACTTTGCGCCGCGTGACCAGTCACGTTTTCCTCTTGGATGACCTTGATGAAGAAGCAGAGGCCAAGGCCGTCCCCACTCACCTGGAGTTGTCCAACTCTCGCACGCTCGTCGCGTTTCCAGAGGTTGCTGATGCTTTTAAAGCATTCTGCGAGTCGTGTCGAGGCTTCGACTTGAAGGAGACCAAGAAGTTGATCGGCGCTGCGACTTCTACTAGTATCCTTAAATGCTGACGCTTGTGCTTGGGGGTGGTGTCGTTAATCTCGGGCTTGTGCCCGTAGTTGTGATCCATATCTGATAGACCGCGTCTCCGTCTTTGAATCCTCAGAAAAGTTCAGAGTTTAGACTTCTTGCAAAACCATCGAAGGACGGAAATGCGAGCTATATTGTCGCCATCTTCGTCGGATTTTCATGGTGCGGCCTCTTTCTCACTCCTCCAGGTAACTACGCGGACGCGATCAAGGCCTACAACGACGCAGACGAGAACTGGGAGCTCTTGTCCCCAGAGCCACGGTCTCGATTGTGCGCCCGTATCAAGAAGAAACTCCCCAACCAGCCTGGCGGCAACGGTAATGGCAACGCTGCTGCCAACGGCTTGCAGATGGCGGCGGTCGAGATCAATCTCGACGACTAAGCAGAGCAAGACAAGCCGCTGCAGCGGGTGGGGATAGGCGTGTGGCATGAAGAGAAGAGTCGAGGAAGTTTCTAAATGAACCAACACCATGACGATACTGATACACTTATAGGAAAAAGCTTAGAACTACACAGAATTGAGATCAAGACTATAAAGAGTGGCGACGTTTCTGCTTGTGTGCTGCGTACTTTGTTCATGGTCCTGGTTGTATTTTGAGGCCTTTCATCTTCTTCGTTGTTTTGGTCCACGATGTAACTTCGTTTATTTCTGTTGGATTTTTTTGTGTCTTGCTTTCGTCGACTCGTTGCCTGAACAACGAGGACAAGGCCAATACTTAACGACCTACACGTGATGACTCTGAGATCAAGAAGCGAACACCTCCACCCTCTGCGTAATTGTTAATATGAGAGAAAGACGTTGGGTCTGGTTATTTATCGCTCTGAAATTTGTGACCTTTCCCTTGGCGTAAAGTCAGACTGTGGGGCTTGGTTATCGACTTATCGGAGCAAGAATCAACTTGCACAGAAGTCGGCCAGTAGTGCTCCATCGTGACACTTTTGGAACGACCTAGCAGAGCTCTTACCGATGTGAATTGTGTCAGTCACCATAGCGCACTCTTCTACAGCTGTGCAATGAACTGATGGGAAAAGTATGAAAGTCTATCACTGTGCGAAAGGGATTGGCGTGGGGATTCAGGTGGCTGCTTGAGTGCACAAAGATCGGTCCTAGGTTGTCGGCGACAGCTCCGCCTGATGCTAGTCAGGGGCCGGAAGTGAAGCAAGGCACGGAGCAGGAAGAAACGATGGCAGAAGGTAGCAAGTTCGGTCTTCTAGGTACAGGAAGCTTCGGGGTGGTGCTCGCGTGGGAATCTGAGATCGGTTTGGCGTGCTTCTGAGTCGGTGGGAGCATGCACGGCCATGCGCAAGCGCAGAAGGCCAATGGAGGAACGAGCAGAAGAAGACGCTGAACAGAGCGAGGGCAGCAGAAGAAGAAGATCGTGAGTCGATAAGTCTGCTACTTCTCTCGGTGCTTTCCTCTGAGTCGGTTCGTAATTTCGCTCAATGTGGTGCATCGGTAATTTCCCTCGGCTGTTCAGACAGAAACGGAACACAAAGCCCAAGGCTTGCACTTGGTGGGAGCACTCTGATGGTGGTGCGCATCTGGTGCCCCTGCTTGTAGATGCACATCCATCGGCCGCGCCTTGATTTGCGCTGTGAGATCTGTCACGATGAGCATCAAAGGCACTGCCGGCGGTAGACGTGCAGGCCGCTTCTCGATCGGTGTGAGCTGCTGAGCCTGTCCCGGTGTGGAGAAGGAGAGCACATACCCAGAGCAGAACCCTCGTGGGGTTGTCTGGGTATCATACCGTATGGCTCAAAAGCTTGAGCTGGAGAGCAGGTTGAGAGAAGGGGCAAAGGCTGGGGCCTGGTGTGGATTTTCGCGAGAAATTCTGGGGACTTTCCCGAGATAATCAGGCCGCGAAGTCCATCCCGGGCCGGCGGGGTCAAGCATACCAGATGCATGATGCCTCTGTAGGTGAGTGAGCTCGCCGCTCCTGTCAGAAAGCGTTCATGTAGAGCGTTGAAACTTTTGACCCGCCCACTCCGCCCTGTAATCATGCGCATGCGGGACCGCACCGACTTGCGCACGCGCTGGCTGACGCCGCGGAGAAGGTGGGGGAGGAGCGCTTCGCGCCGCCCCTCCCTATCAGACAGAGGAGACTATATATCGAAAATATAAGAGAGCAGAAACGCTGCTCCCCGACATGGATGCAGCGCATGGAAAAGGCGACGGAGGATATGTCTAGGCTGTACGAATACACGAGAGCCCAGAACTATCTCAAGACTCAACAGGAGGCACCGAGCCACTTGAGGGCGCTGCTATGCACGGAGAGGACGAGGAATGTCCTGGCTATACAATATCTGGCGGATATGATACAGCACCCGGATAAGCTACTGCCGTGGAGAGTGCTCCACGGCTTTAAGTTAACTCAGTTGGGAATGGCGACGACGCAGGCCTCTGGAAGGCAGAGCGTAAACCGCTGCTCGAAGAGCACGAAGTAGAGGACTTCTACAATATGGCTGCGCGACTCAGACGGGGGAAGCCCAAGCTCGACGATGGCCTATTGCTTGCTATCATTGAAACAATAGAAGAGGACACGAAGAAGGGGCGACGTAAGGAGATATCAGTGGAGGATCTGAAATGCATGCCAGCGATGGCGTTCCCAAAGGATGAGACCACGCCGGAGGGGTTCAAAGTCCGCGCACTGATTGACAGGAGGGCGAAGAATAAATACTGCTGAACCACTGAGAAGCTGGAGCTGCATGGATCGAGGCAGATCGCAGACCTACTCGGGATGTATGTCATGCCGCTCGGACAGGAGGAGAACTACCGCGCGTCCCCACTAGGACGGCTGAAGATAGAAGGAGACAACGAGTGAAATTGTGAGAACACTCGAGGAGACCAAGAAGAGACTGGCGGAACCAATGCCACTGCAGGGCACGCTCGGCGGACATGCCGGCTGCCTCTCGCAACGCCTAAGGACGGCCGACGAACCTGCGAACCTATTGACGACGGCAGACCGCAAGGACGACGCACGCGACCCGCCTGAAATGGCCTCTGATGACATCTCAGACGCTTGCTACCTGTTTGGGATTGATGACCCGTCGTCCTGCTCGTTCGCGGGTTATGATCCGCGGGCTGAGGGCTTCAGATACTGGGCTTTGTATACACTGGATATGGGCGCGGAACCGTCGGCGCCGGCTTTCTGTAGGATAGCTGGACTCCTAATGGCAGTCGCGGCACACTTCGGCCTACCGCTCCGGGCATATATTGACGGCCAGAACTACCTTGCGGCGAATAAAGACCAGACACGCGCGGCGAAACTCTAACTCTTCGCGCAGCAATTAGCCTCGGCGCTTGGCCTTGAGCTATCTGATAAGCCAAGGGCGGACCAGTCCTCGGCGAAAAGTGATCGCGTTCGCGCATTAGGGCTGATATATAGAAACGAGACTGAAACGCTGACGGGTTGCGTGACACTTTGGGTCACACTGGACTGCCGCCGGCATATTATATATAGAAAAAACGGCGGAGGCACTTGCTTGGCGCCATATTGCATGCGCTGCGCATGAAGGCGCTGCCGCGCAAGCTCATCCAGAAAGGCGCTGGTCTATGCACATTTGCCACACAACACGCACGACAGAAGATGGGCACTGAGGCGCTGAGGCCACTGCGTGAATGGCTTGGCGAGGTGATGTTCGAGTCACTGATACGCAAGAAGCTCGAGCGCCGAGCCCTGAAAAAGCGCATCGCCATAGTGCGGACTATCATCCCAAGGCCCCCTGTCGTGGCATATGGAAGAGGGCGCACTGCCCTACTTCGGTCGGCGCTTGCCTGGGCGGGTGCGTCTACTGATGGAGGACTGAATAATATGCCACGCGTTGGAGGATTCATAGTCATGCCAGATGGGAGGCGCAAAGGATTTACGTTGGATATCCACCTGGACGAAATACAGAAACAACTCCTGGGAGTGGAGCCGCGCACTGAGGTGCTGGAGGTGGAGGCCCTTGCCACTTATATTGCTGCGCGACTATGGGCACGCGAAAGCTTGTTCATTGACTTCGCGATCGGCAACGTAATCCATTTGTGCGCCGCGGTCAAGATGGCCGCAGAATCTGGCTCCCTTATGAGTGTCGTGTCGAGCACGACACTGCTCTGCTGTGAAAGACGCGCGCAGGCATGTTACAAATATGAGAGCACAAAGCTTAACATCGCGGACGCGTTCTCCCGACGCGAGTTTGAACACCTCGCGAGAGCTGGGAAGGGGAAGAAATCCCATCGGAATGGTGGAGAGATGCCTTAGAGGCAAGCTGCTATACGACGGCAGGTGAATAAGGCGTCAGTCGCTTTGAAGAAATGTGATGAGCTTCTCTCATGTGGCGCACACATAGTCTACCCGAGGCTACGCGAGATTTCGCAGAGGCCCAAACTGACCGCGGTGACGTGTCAGCGTGACGCAGCTACCTGTGCTGTATGTGAGCCCTTTTCTATGCCTTTTCTTGTACATGCTTTGACGCTGCTCTGCCTCCATACTCGCTTGGGTGACGGTGCCCGTCTGATGGGGCTGCGCTTGTGGGGAAGGGGTAGCGCTCGAAGGACACCACTGGCGCGAGCGTATGCCAGGTGCGGTGGGGGCCTGCGAAGTTTGTATTTGTTAGAGGGGCTGGGACTCGTGGGCGCTGAGACCCAGCAAACTTTTGAGGTAGACTACCAGGATGTCGGACTCTTTAAAACGACTGAAACCTTAAAAACGAACTTGAGAGGAGGGGCACACTACTACAAGACTGAAAAAAGCGAAAGGGAAAGGTGCTCGAAGTTGAAAGACGAAGACCAAAAGAGAGCAGCTTGGTGTAGCTTGATCGCCTACGAACTCCTCGGCTCCCCTCTTTATTCTTGTAGTTCACGGGTTCTCTCAGGCACCTCGGCAGTGAGCGGATTGCCATTGGATGAGCGACGGCGCTTGGCCTTTTACCCATGGGATCTGGGGGCTTCTGCAGTTAGTGACTTCGCGGCTTCGAGGTGGTGCCGCATCGCCAGCATTTGGGCAAGCTCTCACTCCGATGGCCAAACTCTCGCCACAAGTCCCACTTGAAACACCCAGGCAGGCTCTATCGGTCCAGCTGGCCCTCCATGAGGCTCGCGACTTGGCTCGACTTGCCTGGCCTCCAAGCTTTCTAGCTAACTAGGCTGGCTAGCTTCAGCTGCCTTGAGCCTAATACTTCTCAAAAAGTTTAGTGGTTTAGAGTGTGAGTAGGTTTTTACGTTCCATAAGTGCGCGATCGAGTAGATTTAGACGAGGCCCCTTCACTGATCTAGCGCATCGCGTGTTGGTTCGGTTCTCGGGGTGTGGCGTTGTTTCTGTGGGGTGTATCTGATTGCGTCCACCCCCGTCGCCGTTGCCCTTGCTTTATCGCTGTAGGCGGTTCGTAGCGGTTGCCGCCGTGCTTAACCGTTTGCGCGTTTTTCTTTTTAGTGCCTGGCCGTCGTGCTTCAGGCTTCCCGCTGGGTAGTTGCATGCTCGTAGTGCGGGAAATTGTAGACACAGGCAACAAAAAAAAAGTCGCCGGCGTCGTCCACTGGGTAAGCGACAGCGAGTGCGCTGCCCTTTTTTCTCTTCGTCTTTTTGCTTGTCAAAAGGCCTGGCGGCTTATCGTAAAGCGGTGAGCAGCGTGAGCGTGAGGGGTGAGGGCCGTCGCAGTGGCTGAGCTTTTGAGCAGAGTAAAGGTAAACTGGGTGCCTCCATCTGCTACATCAGTCTACTCTGATGCCAAACGCCACGACGTAGAGCTCTTGCACTTAGACTCCCTCGGGCAGGGCATCGCTTTCAATATGATATCTAGTGTGTCTTTGTAGATAGTCAGCGCCGCTCGTCCGCCTCTGATCTTTGCCGACCACATCCCATTCTGTTTCTGCGTTGTGGCTGCAAGTATTGCCTGAAGAGGTTGGGCTGCACTTATTTGCCCTCGTCGTATGCTTGAGACTAACCTTAAAACCCAAGAAGCGATGGCCATTGTTCGAGGCTCACCGCACAAAGCTCACTGGCATCAGTCTAATTCCAATCCGCTCAAAGCCTAGAATGAAAGGTGGACACGCTTCAGGATCAGGAGCGCACACCATTCGAATCACCTGACCACATTCAGACTCAAAGCCAGAGCGGCGCTGGTTTAATGTCTCATGGACTGCTCGACGCGATGTTTTGGGAACAAGGTGGGAACGTTTGGAAAGTTGACAGCAATGAAAACGGAAAGGCAGTCAAGGTCGGCCCAGTTTTATGGGTAATGTAATAGCCTCCGCCTCGACGCCTCGCTATCCCGTTTGATTGTCATTGGCTCACTTTGGCTACTTAGTACAAGCAAAGCCGGGCGGGCTTTGTGATAAGTAGGCTCTTTTACGTCGTGTTACATTATTTTATACGCTGTGATATAGGCCCTTATGCTTCTAACGTGAGCTAGTGCTAGAGAGGGTGAGGGGTGTGCAATACGAAGCGCGTGCCATGGCTTCCAGCTCGACAGGCAGAAGCAGATGCGCGGGGCATGTGTTGCGCTTCTGGTTTCAAGTTGGCCTATCGAGCAAAAGATCGCGCCAAAAACGCTGGAGGCGTATGTTGTCAAGCATGTCGAAACCCCCAACACAGAAACGAGCAGGACGACGCCGGAGCGCCTTTATGTCCTGGATTCTAGACGCCTGGGCCTCTCGATTCGTGTCTGGTCTCATTTTGATTTTCGCCGCGTTGTGTTTCAATTTGCCCGCAAGGAAGTAGAGGCTACTTACTTTCGAGGTAGCAGTCGTGACGCCGAAAGAGTTTAGAAAGTAAGCATGCGCGGCGTGGCTCGTAGACGTGTCGTCTAGCTTCCCCAGCGAAAAAGTGTTGAGCAGCATGCCACCCACCGCGTGAGGCGTATCTATTTGCCTTCACTCTTTAGCTGTTCTTGGAGTATCGGAGGCATTTTCTTGCCCCTGCTCCTGGAATGTCCTTGACGTGTCGCGGGTTTTTCCTTGCCCTTGTCTCCTTTTTGTCCTTCTTCTTCGTTCTCCTTCTTCTTCTTCTTCTTCTTCTTCTCGTCTTCCGTCTTCTGCTTCTTCTATCTCCTCGCTCTTCTTCTCCTCCTTCCTCTGCTTCTTCTGCTCCTTCTTCTGCTCCTTCTTCTGCTTCTCCTTCTGCTCCTCCTCTTGCTTCTTCTGCTTCTCCTTCTGCTTCTCCTTCTGCTTCTCCTTCTGCTTCTCCTTCTGCTTCTCCTTCTGCTTCTCCTTCTGCTTCTCCTTCTGCTTCTCCTTCTGCTTCTCCTTCTGCTTCTTCTCCTCCTCCTTCTGCTCTTTCTTCTGCTTCTTCTTCTGCTCCTTTCTTTTGCTTCTTCTCCTGCTTCTGCTGCTCCTCCTCCTCCTTCTTCTATTTCTTCGGCTACTTCTCCTGCTGCTTCTTCTTCTGCTTCTTCTACTACTCCTTCTACTGCTCCTTCTTCTGCTTCTCCTTCTGCTTCTTCTTCTTCTTCTGCCTCTTCTTCTACTTCTTCTTCTGCTTTTTCTTCTGCTTCTTCTCCTGCTTCTCCTCTTGCTTCTCCTTCTCCTTCCCTTCCTCCTCCTCCTGCCTCTAGTCTCCTCCTGCTTCTCCTTCTGCTTCTCCTTCTGCTCCTCCTTCTGCTCCTCCTTCTGCTTCTCTCTCTCTCTGCTTCTCCTTCTGCTCCTTCTTCTGCTGCTCCTCCTGCTTCTTCTTCTGCTCCTTCTTCTGCTTCTTCTTCTGCTCCTTCTCCTGCTCCTTCTTCTGCTCCTTCTTCTGCTCCTTCTTCTGCTTCTTCTTCTGCTCCTTCTTCTGCTCCTTCTTCTGCTTCTTCTTCTGCTCCTCCTTCTTCTTCTGCTTCCTCTTCTGCTTCTTCTTCTGCGTCTTCTTCTGCTTCCTCTTCTGCTTCCTCTTCTGCTTCTTCTTCTGCTTCTCTTTCTGCTTCTTCTTCTGCTTCTTCTTCTGCTTCCTCTTATGCTTCTTCTTCTGCTTCTTCTTCTGCTCCTCCTTCTGCTTCTCCTGGTAAGTGGGCACCCAGCTCCCGAAGCGCAGAAGCTGCCGAAGAAGCCACCTGAACGGCGCGCACTGGCGTCGTAGACAAAAATAGACAGACGCATCCCCCTAGCTCAGCGCTTTGCCTCTAATACGTCGACGCTTTCACGTTGCTCACGCTGCAGGAGGTGCACGACGCTGGCAATCTAGAGACAATGCGGCAGCAGGTGTACGAGGGTCAACGAGGTGTCTTGTGGACTGGCGATGGGGACTCGCAGGGCGGCTCTCTCCGTCGCATACTTACGACGCTTCGCGATTTTATCGAACGCGTCGACCTCTTCCACAAGACTACTGGCATGGCGCATCAGAGTCTCGCTGTGGATCGCGTGCTCCTGGGCAACGGCAAAATTGACGCAATTAGGAAGGGGCCAGAATTTTGGTGTTTCTGTTGCCGTTAGTTTTGCCTCTTGTAAGTAAGGGGGAAGGGGAGGCTGCCTAGCGAGACAAACTAACACCAAAGGCGCCTCTCTAATCTCACCCCACTGTTGGCCGATTTTGCTGAGTCTGCACCTGCACAGGAGGAGCTGACCGGAGGCGGCGTTTTCGATTTCTTGGATCAGAAGTTCTGCACTGTGACCCCTGTCGCTTTCGCGGATCCGTTCTACTGTGCAAATCCGGCACAAACGGGTGGCTCGGGAATACGCACACCGCATTGGGGCGCAAGCATCGACTCGGACGCTTGGACAGTCGGAGTAGATATTCTATATGCGATGGGGGGAGATTGGTCTGTCATGCAAGCAGAGCTAGCGGAAATTTTGGGGGCGCCCAGCTTATGCCAACAAATGGATACTATCACTAATAATGACGAGTATGATTACTCGCTCCTTCGCTCGAGCTCCGCGCGCATATCTTTCAAGGCATTTCTGCCACTCGTTGTCTTTGTTGATGTACTTACTTAATACATCTGGAGAAATAATCATGATCGCAGTATAAATATGTATGGCAGTTTCGTGCTGTTCTGTATTAGTCCTATCCACAGGTCAGCGTCACGAGCTCCGTACCCTGTCAACCGAGGACACTAGCTAGAGACATACTTTCGCGAGGTCTTGCATTGTGTGCGACATACACTTACACGCGTCGCACAAAGACGAGAGAATACTAGAACGCGCAGCAATCATAGAAGTATCAGGGAGGGGGGCCTCCCATAGGTGGATGGAGCTGGGGCGGCGTCGGCGCGCCCTTTTTTCTGCGGTGGTGACGTGTAAGGATTCCAGGGAGCGGAGGCCCCAGAGAAAAGGCGGGCCGGCGTTCCCTTGCGGCTCTCCGCGTGTACTCCACACGCGCCCCGACTCTTGGACCCTATCAGGGGGACGGCCTCCGGGGACAGAAGGCCGCCGGGGACGGACCTCGGAGGCCTTCCACGAATTCCCATGAAGTTCCCCCCGCCATTGAGGAGCCCGCACGCGGGGGGCCGGTACGTAGGGCGCGCGCAACGTGGCAACGGGGTCAAGCCTCGCCAACTTTGCCGCCTTCGGAACCTTTCCACCCACGGCTTGCGGTGCTTGAACGGCTTGGGGGGTTTGGGTACAACATGCAAGGAGCCGCGAGGGCGCGAGGGTGGGCTTGGATGCTTTCTTGCCTGGCAGTCCTTCGAGAAAAATGAAGGGCCTTGGTCTGGAGGTTGCTGTGGTTGCTGGTTAGTTTTTCTCGTCCCTCTTCCATTTTCTAAGTCTCTTTACTAAGTACATTTTCCCTGTCGTCTCGTAGGTAGCGGTCGTTCTTGTTGTGGTTCGTCAACTCTTCATATTGACGACGGGACGACGACGACACAACGGAAATTGTCTTTCAACGCGCGCACGCCGTCGAAAGATGCAATAAAGTCTGGAAAAGTTTCGTCGACCCCCTGCTCATGACCCTGTCGCAGCGCTTCCCAGCTGACCGGACAAGCGCCGCCATGAAGCTTGCCGAGGGGCTGCGTGATTTTGCACTCAACTGTAAGGCGAAAGAAAACACTGCCGACGTACCTGTTGACAGCGCAAAATTTGGGGGCAAGGGGCGTGACCTGGCGAGGCTTCTTGTCGTTTTTGACGACGTCATAGACGAAATGGCGAGGACCGCGGCACAAAGTCGAGAAATGTCTGCAGTCGACAGTAAGGCCGATGTGTTCCCTGATGCTGCACTAGGTCAAGCCGCCCCACCTTCACCTGAAAGACAAGAAATGTTCGCCGCGGTGATGAATCTACAGCAGACAGGCATCAAGAAGATTCTCAGCAATGTCCTTGGCGGATGTTGGAAACACGAAAAACTACAGGACTGGGCAGCGTCAATAATAGAAGGCGGAGGTGGTGGACCTGGACCGCCGGCCAAGCCCACGCTGAATGACAAGTGGTCCGAGCTCTTCGTTGCCGCCCTGACGGCGCAGACAATGTCGTACGAGCGGATGAAAGGGATAGCGCAGCAGGCGTGCGGAAGCGAACAACAACAACAATGCTGGAAGAAAATAGCGGAGTTATCTTTACAAGGCGCCATCGGCATCGGAAGTCTGACGACGACCGCGACCGAATCAAATATGGACGACTGTCGCAATGGGCTTCATCATGTTCGTGGGTCTGGCGCCTCCTCTTTCATAGCGCTCGACGTGGGTGAGGGTGGCGCTGGCGAAGGTATTTCGACTTACTAATAAATTATCTCGTGATAGCAGATCGTGTTCTGTGGTTTGGTTTCTTTCAGTTTCACGCGGAGGCACTCCCTCTTGCGGTAGATTGCAGGAACCAGCTTCATAATTTAAGTAGATTTCTATAGTATAAGTATTCATTCATATAAATTTGCATTTGTTCTACTTCCTCTACGACCACATCTACTTCTTATGATGCGATGTGACGCTGAGTGTGTAGTTCTGCAACCCTGCACTGCCTAGATCTTATTCTTGCGCTCACTCAAGATTTTTGATATCGACTTACGCCTACTCTATCTCTAGACGTAGACTTTTTGGAAACTTCTAAACAATCGACTTTCAAGTTTGAAGCGAGAATAGCCCGCGCTGAGATTCAGACTCTCCTTCTCCAGGTGATCCGTCATTCCTGGACTTCGAAGCTGGACATGACCAAACCGAGGATCCGGCGACTGCTTTTTTGGCTGTGACAGACCTTTTGCTGGACCACGGCGATTACATCCATCACGGCGACACCGCTGCCCATGACAGGAATCAGGGTGCTGCTGAGGGTGTCGCCCATGAAACGGATAACGCTATGACTTGGATCATGCTCATACTTGACTACATTTCCCTCAGAAGTATCGTTAGTATGTAGGCCTAATTGAATTTACTCAGCATTTATTAAACTCAGAAGAAGGAGAAGAAGTTGAATTTGAAATAGAAGACTCTGTCCTGCTCATCTACTTTATGAGAAGTCTCATCATGTAGTTGTTTGTTGATGAGTACAAAGACAAAGTCTTTCTCTTTCATGTCCGCTTTCGGCCATGCAGTTGCCTCCAAGTCCAGGCCGAGCGATGATGACCAGCCTCGCACCAGCACTGACGGGCCGGAGATGGATGCCAACGCCTTGAGTTCAGAGGAACTGGCGCTAGGTAGTAGTCAACGAAAATGTGAATGACATAGGCACCAGAACTACGATTTCTTCGAATTATATGATGATCTGTAATCGATAGAAGCAGGATGAAGAAGTCCAAGGGCCTCATCCTACACATTAAGCACATCTGACCCAAACCTATCATCTTCTAGGCAATCGACGACAAATTCTTCTCTTCCGCCGTTTAATTCAGGAACCCTCTCTCCGATCCCTTTTCCTGTGTTCGCGCGTCCTTCGTTCCTAGACTTGGAAGCTGGACATGACCAAACCGAGGATCCGGCGACCGCTTCTTTAGCTGTGGCGGACCTTCGGCCGAATCACGGCAATGATATCGATCACGACAACGCCGCTGTCCATGATATGAATCGCAACGCTCTCCACGATGGCATGGGCAGTCATGACGCAGATCATGCTACGGAGTGGAAAAAATTACTCAAGCAACATAAGTACTCGTCAGAAGTATCATAAAAATCTGATTTACTCAATCAAATTTAGGAGAAGACCACGATTCTGTCTAGTTTTTTATGGCGAAGTATCGTCATGTTATTTGTTGTGTACGAGAAAGTTTTTTTTTCCTTTCATGTACGCTTCCGGCCATGTTGCGGGCTCCAAGTTGCGACGTATGGCATCTGCTACCGATGATGACTGGGCCAGCACTACTGACGAGGTGGATATGGACATCAACGCCTTCAGTTCGGATGAGCTAGCGCTGGTAAGAGGAATGGGAAACGAAGGAGGTGGTAGGTAGGGGAATAAAGGTGGAGGAACTAGCGCTGGTTAGAGGTGGAACAGGAAACGAAGGAGGTGGTCGTGGTAGTTAGGAAACTACAGGAGGAGGAACTAGCGCTGGTTAGAGGTGGAACAGGAAACGAAGGAGGTGGTAGTTGGGGGATCACAGGTGAAGGAACTAGTGGGGGTTATTAGGAGGCTACTACTGTAGTGGTGGTTAGGAGACCACAGGTGGAAGTGGTGGTGGTTAGAAGGGCGCAACAGCCAAGAACAGGTGGGACTTTCAGTGGAGAATAGGTGAAACTACTTGTAGACGAGGCGAGGACGAAGGGATAGGGGATAAGATAGCAAATGAGGAATGAAGAGGTGGCTAAAAGTAGCAGAGGAGAAGGACGAAGAACATAGAAACAAGAACATGGGGATATAATTAGTACTAGTAGACGAGGAGGAGGAGAAAAGCCGTAAAAATAGGATGAGAGGTGAGCTTGAGTTAGGACGCGGGTGGAATTAGTACTAGTAGCCGAGGGCGTGGAGAAGGAGCAACAGCAAGGACCGACGTAACAGGATGAGAGGTGAGTAGTTGCAGAAGTTAGGAGGTGGGTGAAATGACTAGTAGTAGTGGAGGAGGAGGAGGAAGGGCGTAACATGATGAGAAGTGGGACGAGGTTGGAAGATGGTGGGAGCTGAAACTCCTAGAAAAGACAGATGAAGGTGAGTGAAGAAATGGAACTCGTGCTCGACTATGCCGTAGGTTTTGCGTTGGTAATTGGGATTGCTGCGGGTACTTGGGGGTGCAGACTCGAGCAGTGAAGGTGTATGAATGGAGCCTAGTACAACTACAGGAGGATCCATCGGCATAATGTATGAGTGTTACTTAGATGAACTACATCGGACACAAACGAAAAATGACAAGAACAAGAATATTTTCAGCAAGCTTAATGCCGTACGAACCAGCAACATTCGCCGCATTTTGATGGCTTTAACTTAAATTTCGTTATAAGTATCAATGTATTACCTATACCTAATCTTCAAAAATCATAACGAGAAAGAAAAACACCAAAGTCGAATATTAAAAAATGCTAATGCTTCGGATAACGATAATGATATTATAATGTACTCCTTGGGACGTGTTAGGTTACGTCGTGTACAGCGTGTACATGAAAAAGGCATGAAGATCAAACTGATTGCGGCTACTCCCACTCAACTCGTGGATATGGGCTGTGTCACCTGTGCTCATATGATATTCGCAGAACTTGTTCTCTTCCTAATAAGAAAGATCGGCAGGGTCAGGGTATAGGTTCAAGTTGGCCTGGTATCGCTTCAGCTTCTACCTTATTTGTTCATGTTCTAGCAGTAGCAAATGCCAAAGCTATGATACAAATGACTTTCCAGACTGCAAACAAACAAACAAACATCTGCACAGTCTTAAGAAAAGGATACTACTCCTCTCACCCACAGTCACAGCATACTAGAATTCATAGATGAAATGCATCATAGAATAAACTGTACTCAATTGCGTCGTCAGTAGTGGCGCAGCCTCCACCCCCGCTGTGCATCAGACTTTCAGAAAGAAGGGAACCATCACAGAAAAATCAACAGTTTCCCCCCAAGCTTGCGACCAATTATGTTGGGCAACACCAGTATAACCCAACCCAAACCCTGTGCAGCACACTACAAATGCTCGGTCACAACCAAACCCGTGTCGTTAATACCCCTACCTCTCCAATTATAGAAAACAAATGAAGATATACCTCGCGACATCCGTCGTGGGCGACGTTTTGGAATATATCGAAAGCGTGTTGCATTGAAGTGCTATGATTGTCGAGGGCGAGAATTAGGATGCAGCTCAGGCATTAATGCCTGATTAGTTGCGTTTCGAGTGACTTTGTCGTCTGTAGGTGAACGAGTTACTTCTCTGAATTTCATCAATTTACTTAGAAACCTGGACAGATTTGTCAATCTTCTGTCTCAAGTTCATGAATTTGAGTATCACTACTACGAATTTGAGCGCGTGGGCGTGAACATAGAATTAGAAATGACTAGAGGCGACGCTGCAAAAAGAAGGATCAAGTCAAAGTCTGTCCCTACAGCTACACCAGGGTCGAGAGAAAGCGTGCTATTTCGGTAACACCTGAAAAATCAGTCGTATATGCAGATGCTGAGTGAAGTAAAGAGTGATGTTGACTACCCTTCTTGTTCCCCGTATCATGCCTACCTGTCTTAGAAACAGCAAGAGAGCAGAAGTTATTGTTATTATTTACGATCTTCAGTCCTCCTGAAAATTCAGACTGATGCTTCCACATCCACGTCACAAGCTTCAAAGTTTTTCGCCCCATGTGCAAAATCCCCACTCCATAGTCCTCACTATCAGAAAACCACTATAAGTGTAAGAACAAGTTCTTGGTGAGTAATTCTCACTTTGCTGGTCAAGAACATAGAACTATGTAGCTATGTATACGTATGCAGTTCTTACAGTAGTCTGACACTGATTCTGGAGAGCAGGTGTCTTAAATGCTTGTCATGGTTTTGGTTGCATGCCGTGACGTTGAACTGGAATGTGTAATCTGAGTCGGCAAATAGAAGAAGTTGAACAAGAAGGAATCTGAATTGATGGTCATGTACTTGTATGTAGTTGCGTATTTCTAGTACGCTGCAACTAACATGAACTCATATGTCGCGCATCTGCAGTAATGGAAGATCCTACTTGTTGCGCGCTGCTGCTCACCATGTCGCATCAGCAGAGCCGTCTACTTTATCGATCGTTTTGTCGAGATTCTATTCGCTGGTCTCACATTCTCATTCACTTTGGCAGGCAGCATCGTGGTCACTGTTACAGCGAAAGGGAGTGCGCCAAACTGGCCTGATTGGGCTTTCTGGGAATACAACTTTTCGGCCTGCGACCCAGCCGACGATCATGCCTGACATGGCAATGGCGATTGTTCGTATGAGAAACAGTTTGATCTCTCGTTTTTTGACTAGGGTCGCATCGGAGCCAGGCAGTTAGCTGCTCCTGCTACGTTGTTCGAATGAATGAATAAATCAGTCTCTTTTTTTTGAACTATTTTTCTGTTTCTCGTGGTTAGCGCCGATCATATTTGATTTTTGATTTAGGGTTTCAGTTTCTCCTTCTCCTGTCCTTTCTCTTCCTAGTCCTAGCCCTAGCCCTAGCCATACAACTAGCTCTACCTCTAGCTACCTCTACAGCAAAGAACAACGTCCAGTAGTATTACTTACCTGGAATCGGATACGTTTTTGAGAGTAATGAACAGACTAAGTACAACTTTCCTTTCATACCCTACTCGACACCACTACACCTGACCTTACGACTGGAAGTGCCACATACCAGTGCGATTACAAGGTTCCTTGGCATGGTCCAGAGTGCGCGCAGAGAGACTTACCGCCCTTGGTTGAAGCGGAGCGCGCATGGACTGCCGATGAATGCATCTCACCAAATCTGGGGTGGGTCCATTTATGGCTAAGGTTTCTGACGGAGTGGCACTCATCAGTACCTAGTCACAATCACAGCCGTTCTACGATATTGGGGCACCACACGGGTCCCGGGGATCTTTTTGTTTTACAATAACAAGAACAAGGCCAGAAATTGATATTGATATTTTTCAGTGTAGTGATTGGGAAACAAAAACAACTATCTGAAGATTCTGAATCATGGTTCCCTAATTTCAGTGGTACGAAACGAGCACCCAAAAATAGCACATGATGACCGGAGGGAAATTCCTCAAATCGATCCGAATATCTTGCGAGTGGAGCAGACCCAACTGGACAACTACCGTATTTTATGATAGACGACTGACGACTGCCTGGGTATCTTATCTATCTAAGTAGCCCAATACCCTAAGAAGGTAGAGGTACTCGAAAAGTAAGAGTAAGGGAGTAGCTAACTGAAATAACAGAGTCATTACGTTGCTCGTGTTTCAGTATCTCGCTTATTTTAAGTAGTTGCTTGCTTATTTCAGTTTATCGAATAGATCATCGTCGTCTGCAGTCACGCTGTCTATACACATGCATACATACAGCAACTACGCACACAACAGGTAGTCTAAGGTAGGTAGTGCCATAATTCTGATAGTACAGCTACAGCGTTGTAATTGTTTTGTCCTCTAAGTTAGGGCTTCTGCTTCAGCAGAGTGGTATGCCGCGTTCACGATACTATTTGGTGTTGTCGCCTTTCTCATGCTCGCCTACCTTCCAAAGACAGACACAGACCCTTAGCCTGCTGATGATGATATGTGAGCATGAATTATCTGGATTTGGTTTGGAGGCAGGTTCCTCAAGAGGCAAGTCGCTACAACATGCCATCAATTAAGGCTTCGCCTACTCGACCCGTCTTCACGTAGTACATCTTGGAATACAATCATGGGGCAGAACAATCTCAATCATGTTGTCTGAAGTGTGAAGCATGGTAGTATCATGCGCCTTATCTGTTGCCGGCTAAAAAATGCACATGATTAATCAACTTCTATCGTGGGAGCAGATTCTGACTTACACTACAGAGATTCGAGATTTGATTTTTCATTTTGCCTGTAGACCGAGCAGACTTCTTGAGATAGAGATGGCACTTCTAAACGGAAATCGGACGACTCATATTCACATTGTCGATCGTGAAAAAATTCGTTCTTGTTTTTTCCAGCACATTCCAATCGATCGTGATGGCAAGAACGGCTGTGAGCGAAGTGCAGGCGTTAACGTTATACAAAAGTCGCCAACACCAACAGGAGAAACTGAGACGACACAAATCGTAGGACGCGACTACATAGCAATGCAGAGCAAATATATGAGCCCTGTCTTCTACTCTATAATGTTACTGTAGCTGCCGCACATAGAGTTCTAGGAGTCTTCAGTTGATGTTTCGTCAGCATCGAGACGAGAGAATCGACAGACTGCAGTCGTTACAGATGATCAAGAGAGAATCGACGGACTCTAACACTAACTGTGTCAGCGCTGATGACGAGACTTTTCCTTATGTTCGCAACTATCTGGAGAGAGCACACGAGTCGATAATTGCCCTTGTTCGCCTTTTCAAAGGGCCTCCAGTCGTCGACTGATCGATTTGGGAACATTTTCGAAAAGCTCCTAACAGTAAGCTACCTTCTGATGTTTCCATCACAATAAATTGACACAAGAACAACTCCATCAAAAGGCTTCCAATCCTGTCCACAATAAAGATATCCTGCTTACAACTAGGCAAATTTGTTGAATCAAAATAGTGTTATTTTCGTTCTTGCACTAGGACTAGCGCTACTACATGCACAACTTCTCCTACTACTACTTCGTTACCTCCCACCTCGGCTAATTTTGATTTAAGAACACACACGATACATCGACGGAGGACGTCGAGTTTGTTCCAAAAACTTCCACCGAGAAGAAATGCCTACGGTGACACGCGAGTCGCGCGCTCTGATGCCCGTGTCTGGGGGAGCGACCTTAGCGGCAACATGTAACGGGAACAACTCTACTCTCAAGAGCCAGCTCTTCGCTAAAAAGAGGAGCCGCGAAAGCGAGTACACGATCGACGCGGCGCTCCTTTTCTGGCTCTACGACTGGCACCAGTGCGAATGCAAAACTGTCACCCTGCACCCGCTTCTGGAAGCGGCTGCTTTCCGTCCCGTTTTTTGTGTGATGGTGAACAGAGGAGAGCTGCTGCCGCTCGTGCTCTCGTCCGATCAAGTTGACGTGTTCTCTTGTCGCGGCTTGTCATGCTGGTTTGCTGATCAAGTAGAGGCTCTTCTTCATCTCTCCTCATGCTTGTTGACCGAGAAAGCTACCAAGACCAAGAAGACACTGTCGCAACCTCCGTACCAGCCGCGGGAGCGACTGCTTCCGATCGAGGACGAAGATCGCAAAAGTAGCGCTTCCACCTTGCGTGGTCATGCAGAACAAGAACTGAAGACCAAGAAGACACTGTCGCAACCTCCGTGCCACCCGCTGGGGGAGCGACTTCTTCCGATCGAGGACGAAGATCGCAAAAGTAGTGCTTCTATCTTGCGTGGTCATCCAAACCAAAAGCTAAGTCTTCATCTACAAATTGTCGACGAGGCCAATCAACTTGAGCATGAGGCTTTTGCAGCTTCTTGCGAATGTGATGAGGATCTCAACGTCATTCCATCCTACGCCGACATCGTGAGGAGGCCACGCAGATTGTCTCAACGTGCCTCAAAACAATGCTTTACTAGTATCTTCAAGGCAAACCCGAGTGACCTCCTTGCTGCGTCTCAACATAAACCATCGCCCCACAGTTGCAAGAATGAAGCGGGTCATCATCATCATCATCATCATCATCATCATCCTCGTTATAGTTATAATAAAAATCTAAATCATGCGTTTTCAAGTCCAACTCCATCACTATCTCTCGTCGTCTCTAGCAACACTAATAGAACAAGCACAAGCACTATTACTAGTTTGCCTCGTACCAGTCCCATCTGCCGCTTGTCTTCTGGTACGAAAACAAGTGCTAGCACTAGCTACACCACAACAATTACAGCGACGCATCAATGCAAAGAAAGCCATCAGAGCCATCTTCTGCTCTCGACCTCGACACCCGCGCCCAGTAGTTCTGACGACACCGAGCCAGCAGTGCCAGAACATGAATACGACTACAAAGTTGTAGAAGATGCTGACTCCGACTGTCGCGTTTGCGATGGTAGTTCCACGCCCAGTGCTGCTCGTGTGGCCGCAGAGTCAATAGAGGAGAATATCCTGAACTTGGAGCACTTGAGTCTGCTGCTTCAAGAGGAAATCGCGCGTCCAGGTGCCTTTGAGCGGAGTGGTCTTGTGCTTGAGGACGAGGCCTGGCGGTCTTTGGTGCAGAAAGAACGAGAAGACCGAGGCATTGCTTCGAAGGTAATTCGCCTTTTATTCTTGACTAAGTAGATAGTTACAGGTGGTTGGAGTTGGACGACAATGCCTCTAGTTACTAAACAATATTGGTCAGACAGGACGATCCAAATCCTTGTTGTAACTTTAAATATTGCGACTCTCACTTCTGCATCTACTTACAGTTACAACAGTCACACTTTGCTACAGCCTCAAGGATTAACACAAATGAGAGCCGGTTGCTTCAATAGTTTTTAGAAGTACCACATAAATCAACTTCAACACCTGCTTCGGCAGTTTCAAAAATAACAAAAATAGTCTTTAGCTTATTACTGCTACTGCAGATTGTGAATCCACCGCGCTCGCGACTGATGAAGCAGGAGTTGCCTTCGTCGCTGGATCCGGTTCCGGCTGTTTCGTCCGCCAGGAGCCTAATGCGAGATAGCAGCTACAACACCAACAGGTTTGAAGCGTTGTCCTCTACGGTTGCACTTTTGCCCGACGACGGCGAGGACGAAAACAAGACGAATGGAGAGACTTGCAGTGCAATGAGCTGCTTTTCGTCAACAGGGCCCCAACGGCGGCCTAAGAAACTGCAGACCAGGGCGAACAAGAAGAAGCAGATGCTGAGTAAAAGAAGACTCGCGAGCATCTCTCGTAGTAGATCGCTCTCTTCTAGTCCTTCTACGACGCATCTTGCAGTAGCCGCAGCATCTTCTTTGGGAGCGCCATGCAATGACGACGCCCCGTCTTCATCCTCAATCAATCCATCTGCACCTTCAAGATCTTTTTGTCGGTTTTCCTGCAGAGGAAGACAACTCCCTAAAAAGCGAGTGCCTCCAATAAGAGTACTGCGGCTGGAAGGCCACTACGAGACCCAGCCCAAGGCTGCTGCGCTGGCAGGCCCTCCCGGTCTTGTGCGTCAGTTCCTTCTACTTCTCATACCGGTTCTAGTGGTCGTCGCCTATCAGCGGATGGAAAGCGTAATGGGAACCGCCATGGGAGGAGAGGAAGACGAAGACCAAAAGGAAAAAAAAGAAATGATAGAGGAAGCCTGGACTTTTTTCAAGACGCGTTTGCCTGCAGAAGAGTTCCTACAGCTGAAAATTGATGAAGGATCAGTGGGGCGCTGGCGGAACCGTTTGGAAAGCAAACGGGACATTGGGCACAACACTCCACAAGAGATGGCGGGAAGCATAATTTCGACGTGCATGAACGTGGATACTGCACAAGAGCAATCAGCAGAGGTGCAAAATTTATACTACGGCACCTCCACCTCGTGCAATATTAATACCGCCCACGTGCCCCCGGCGTGTACACACGCCGGGGCAGGGCGGAAGGATCTTACAAATGCTACGAGTTACATAAAATGGACGCATCCGGCCTACCGGCGGGCTACGAACTACGTAAAGAGTAACGGGCTACGGAATAAGCGAAGCAGCCACGTGCTAGAAGCTTTTTTTTACTTGTTACATAAACAAAAACACTGGCAGCAGTGCCACTCTTTGCGTAGTTCGTAGCTCGCCGGCAGGCCGTATGCGTTTTATGTAACGCGTAGCATTTGTATGACCCTTCCGCCCTGCCCCGGCGTGTGTACACACCGGGGGCACGTGGGCGGCACAGGTGTCGCATTGCGAAAATCTAACTATTGATAATTTGTTTTTTTTAGTTTTTTGTTTTCTTTTATTGTCAACAGAGCTCCGAGTCCGAATTTTTTGACCAACAATACATAGAACAGGTGTAGGCTGGATAGTATCGCATGATCTTGAACAAGGCAAAGGCCATCCATTATCGTACTAGTTGCTCTCATCTTGTTCGAACATTTACATGCACCTTTTGTTCTCCTTTGATGGTTCGGGCCCGCAACGCAGCGACTATGACCAGTCTAAGTAACCTTTACCCGCCTCGAGCCTACTCGTGTAGAGATTCACGATTTGTATGTATCATTTACATTCTAATAGCGCTCTCCCAGATCCAGAGTATCTGGAACTTACCACTCCAATCATGATTCCACTACATTCACTCAGGCCAGCCTAACATTGGCTGAGTTACCGGAGATGCGCTTGGTCATGGAGCAAATGGAGCTATCTGAAGTCGTGGAGGATTGGACAATGGCTGAGCCTAAGGCCATTCTGGGTGTTGGCGCACATGGCGTCGTCGTAGAAACTGCAGAGGGAAAAGCCCTGAAGTATGTGTCGTATTTACGTGTGGTGCAGCTGCAATCAATCTAACACTTGTATCCTATGTGCGTATCGCTCATGATCCCCAGACCACATTAAGCGTTTCTGATTATGCATCGATACATGGTACAATAAAATTCGGGGTTCAACCGAAGATCTTGTTACTGCCTCTAACATGACATGGCAAGAAGGACGGGACGGAGTGGAAGGAAACAGCGAAGGAGTTGCTGCGCGAAGCTTGTACGGGTCTTCTTGTTTCAAACCACCCCAGCAAGAAGATCGCGGCGAAAACGCTGAAGGCATATATTAGCTCGAAAGTAACAAGAAAGGGCTTGCAGCCTTATGTCTACTTAGATTTGTGTTTTAGTTTTTGGATAAGAGGTCCGCTGCAGCTCTGTCGCCAATCATGAAGGGTGCTGGCATTCCCATTTTTTGTATATTTTCCAACTTTCTGAGCCGAAGAACAACAAGTCGACACCTGTCAGCTGCGTAGACATAACAAAACATACACACGAAACCTCAATTTTCCCTCTAATCTGCTTCCTCTCCTCTTACGCTGCATTTCCTCCTTCTGCAAGAGAAGCACAGCAAAACGCTATTGCAGCTTTCGGCCCCGCTCGCGAAGTCGGAAACACCGAGTGGACAACCGGTTGCCTCTGCTGGTGAGGTTCATTCTGCCGACAGCGGCGCCAAGACGTCTCGCTTTTTCCCTCCTGAAGCAATGTGGTGGGCGGGTGTTGACGGCGGTGCTGCCAACGCTAGTCTGTCGTCTCTCGTAGCTTTTCTGTGTGGATTCATAGAGAATGTTCTCCTCTTCCATAGAAGTACAGGCATGGCGCACCAGGATCTCAAGTCGGATAACGTGTTCGTCGAAGTCGAGCCAGCTGCAACATCTCCATCTGGCACTCCACGAGCGGCGTGGCTTGCTGATTTCGGGGAGACTGCGCGAGGAAGTATGTCAGAAAAAGAAAGACAGACGGACTCGGAGAACGCTTGGGGGCTGCCGTACTGCACCGTACAACTGTATGCGGATCCGCTTTTGTGTTCATGTCCACAGGACAAATCCAGCCCAAAGGAGTCTGCGGCTGAAGTTCATCCACCGCGGAGGAACGACATCAAGATCGATCTGAAGAGGTCGGACGCTTGGACAGTGGGGATAGATATTCTCGAGGCGATGGGGGCAAAGATAATCCCGCAAGTGAAAGTTGTGGACCAAATAAGACGAGAGACGCAGATCGCCACTAATGGGTTATGACGTCACCTTACACGATCACGAATACTAGTTTCTGCACTCTAGCAGTTTCACCCCTTCAGGCTATCGCTTTTGATGCTGCGTATTATAATAAAATATATGTAGATATAGCTTTACATTTACCCTTTTTGTTCTTATCGTCGTAATCGTAATGACAGTTTTCTTCTTCTCTGCTGGTACAGCCAGTCGCAGTCTTTTTCTTTTAGTGTTATGTGAATAATCTAGATGATCTAAATCATAATCTATAATCTATCATCTTTTACAATAAAATCTAGTATCCTAATATTACGATGAAGAACATGAAGATGATTGTATACTCCTCGCTTCTATATTATGACAGTGTCATCAAGGACAATACATGGCTTGACTTTGACACATAAAGTCAAGCCTAATATACAGCATACAGATTCACGATTCTGGCTAGCTTTTGTCTTCCGCTTGATTACTTTCGTTTCCATCCTGGTTTGTCATACTATTCTCTGTTTGTCTTTGCATTTGGTATTTACATTTTTCTAATGTTGTGATTAATGATGCTTGACAAGTACTACACAGCGCTCACTTCATAATCACCTGGTGACGACGGGCAGACGACTGTGGCGCCCGAGGAACGCCTGCTGCATGCGCAGAGCGTTTGCGTGGAAGTGATGAACCAGGTCATCCTCCCTATGCTCAAGGAGCTGCCCAAACAGTTTCCACCGGAGGACGCGACACGCGCAAAAAAGCTTGCCAAAGGGCTGCGGTTGAATTCACTGAACTGCGATGAAAAAGACAAAAACTTTTCCATGAAGCATCCAACTGCAAGGGAGCGACCACGACTCAGCGACAAGATTCACCCGCTAGAAGACGGAGAAGACCGCGTGTTCGGAGAGCGGAATTTGGAAACGCTTCTTAGCGTCTTTAAAGGCGTTGAGGAGGACATGACTGCGGGGGCGACAGAATTGCCACAAGATGGGATGCATCCACTCGAGGCGGCCGCTCTGAGCGTGCACGATAAACCTACTGAAGAAATGCAAAGACGATTCACGACGCTGATGCAAAATCTAGTCAAGCCGAGAGAACCTGGGAAAGGGACCCCGACGCCGAAGCAGCTCGTCCTGAAGAGAATACTAGAAGCGATTCTGCAGCCGTGTTGGAATGAGAATGCGCTCACCAAGTGGGAACACACGATATTAACCGGAGTAGGTCGTGCAGAAAATACGTGGGGCGAGCTCTTCATTGCCGCCGTGACAGCTGGAACTCTATCGTCCGTTGGGATAAACAAGCTATTAGCGGATCCGATTAAAGCTAAAGCGGACCTTCTCGACCTTGCGCGGGAAGCGCTTGGTCGTGTGCCGTTTGCTGAGTATGAAAAAAAATGTTTTGAAAATATTTCGGATTCGGGCGCGAAAGACAGCTTCTTCGCCAGGAAAGATAAAGCGAAGGAAATACTAACAAAGCTCGAGCTCGAAAGCGGGTCCTCGTTCATAGCCAGCAGTATGGGCGATGTCGGCGAAGGTATTTCGACTTCATATTGCGACCATCGGTCTTCTGCGTGCTTATATTTTCAGGCTCGCGCTGGTTTCCGACGTTCACTCATATGCTTAAAGCGTAGTAACCTCTATCTCCTCGATGTGTGATGTCAACTGTATTCTGCCATCGTGCCTTAGTTTGCTTTGGGGCGGATTGGTTTTTCTTTTGGGAGTGATTGTTCTTCACGAAATACAACTATCTAAGATTATTTCTATCTTCCTCTACTGATCTTTCTTTTTTCTAGTTACTTAGGTCGGCTCCACCACAATTATTTGCGCTATCTTCTCCATCTACTCCAGGTGACCCCTCATTCCTCGATTTGGAAGGCGGAAGAGACCAAACCGAGGATCCGGCGACCGCTTTTTTGGCTGTGACAGTCCTACTGCCGGACCACGGCGATGATATCCATCACGACGCCGCTGCCACCCATGACATGAATCGCGATGCTCTTCACGGTGGCATCCATGACACAGATCATGCTATGGATTGGAAAAAATTACTCAACTACATACTCAAAAGTGCCATCTGGTTTTAGTTTACAACTCACTTAGAATCTTCAAATTCAGAATAGCATGCCCCTAGTATCCACTATCTAATTATCTTTTGAGACATGCATTTGTTGCATAGATATGGATACATATGGTAGTATTGAGGAATTGTAAGTCTTTTCCTTTCATGTGCGTTTTCGGCCAAGCGGGCTCCACGTCGCGACGTGTGGCACCTGCTAGCGATGATGACTGGCTTAGCACCACTGACGAAGTGGAAATGGGCGTCAACGCTTTAAGTTCGGATGAACTAGCGCTGGTTAGAGGTGGAGCAAGAAACGAAGGAGGTGGTAGTTAGGGGACTACAGGTGGAGGACCTAATGGTAGTCAGGAGACCACTACTGTAGTGGTGGTTAGAAGGATACTACAAGTGGAAGTGGTGGTGGTTACAGGGAGGCAGTCGGTGGACGTAGTGTTGATGGGAAGGAAACGACAGGTGACACTTTTAGTTTGGTGGAGAATAGGTGCAACTATTGTAGACGAGGAGGACGAAGGGATCGGGGATAACGATAAGAGAGCAAATGAGGAATGAAGAGGTGGTTAAGAGTAGCAGAGGAGAAGGACGAAGAGCATAGAAGCAGGAAAATGGGGATATAATTAGTACTAGTAGACGAGGAGGAGGAGGAAGGACGTAACTATCTATTAATAGAATGAGAGGTGATCTTCAGTTAGGACGCGGGTGGAATTAGTACTAGTAGACGAGGAGAAGGAGCAGGGACCGACGTAACAGGATGAGAGGTGAGTATATGCAGAAGTTAGGAGGCTGGTGAAATAACTAGTAGTGGTGGAGGAGGAGGAGGAAGGGCGTATTAAGATGAGAAGTGGGACAAGGTTGGAAGATGGTGGTAGCTGAAACTCCTAGAAAAGACCGATGAAGGTGAGTGAAAAAATGGAACTCCTGCTCGACTATGACGTAGGCTGTGCATTGGTAATTAGGATTGCAGCGGGTACTTGGGAGTGCAGACTCGAGCAGTGGAGGTGTATGAATTTAGCCTAGTACAACTACTACAGGAGGATCCATCGGCATAATGTATGAGAATGAGTGTTACTTAGAACTACACCAGACACAAGTGACAAATGACAAGAACAAGATTATTTTCAGCAAGCTTCATGACGTACGAACCAGCAACATTCGCAGCATTTTGATGGCTTTAACTTAAATTTCGTTTTCGTTATAAGTATCAATGTATTACCTATACCTAATCTTCAAAATTGTATCATAACGAGAAAGAAAAACACCAAAGTCGAATATTAAAATATGCTAATGCTTCGGATAACGATAAAAATGAAAATGTACTCCTTGATGGGACGTCGACATGTTAGGTTACGTCGTGTACAGCGTGTAGGTGTACATAAAAAAGGCATGAAGATCAAACAGATTGCGGCGACTCCCACTCAACTCGTGGATGTGGGCTGTGTCACCTGTGCTCATATGATATTCGCAGAACTTGTTCTCTTCCTAATAAGAAAGATCAGCAGGGTCAGGGTATAGGTTCAAGTTGGCCTGGTATCGCTTCAGGTTCTACCTTATTTGTTCATGTTCTAGCAGTAGCAAATGCCAAAGCTATGATACAAATGACTTTCCAGCATGCAAACAAACAAACAAACAAACAAACATCTGCACAGTCTTAAGAAAAGGATACTACTCCTCTCACCCACAGTCACAGCATATTAGAATTCATAGATGAAATGCATTATAGAATAAACTGTACTCAATTGCGTCGTCAATAGTGGCGCAGCCTCCACCCCCGCTGTGCATCAGACTTTCAGAAAGAAGGGAACCATCACAGAACAAGCAGCAGTTTTCCCCCAAGCTTGCGACCAAGTATGTTGGGCAACACCAGTATAACCCAACCCTGTGCAGCACACTAGCAATGTTCGGTTACAACCCAACCCGTGTCGTTAATACCCCTTCCCCTACCTCTCCAATTATAGAAAACAAATGAAGATATGCCTCGCCCGACGTCCCTCGTGGGCGACGTTTTGGAATATATCGAAAGCGTCTCCTCGCATTGAAGTGCTATGATTGTCGAGGGCGAGAATTAGGATGCAGCTCAGGCATTAATGCCTGATTAGTTGTGTTTCGAATGACTCTGTCGACTGTAGGAACGAGGTACTTCGCTGAATTTCATCAATTTACTTCGACCTGGACGGATTTGTCAATCTTCTGTCTCAAGTTCATGAATTTGAGTATCACTCCTACGAATTTGAGCGCGTGGCCGTGAACATAGAATTAGAAGTGACTAGAGGCACACGCTGCAAAAAGAAGGATCAAGTCTGTCCCTACAGCTACACCAGGGTCGAGAGAAAGCGTGCTATTTATTCGGTAACACCTGAAAAATCAGTCGTATATGGAGATGCTGAGTGAAGTAAAGAATGATGTTGACTACCCTTCTTGTTCCCCGTATCATGTTCATGCCTACCTGTCTTAGAAACAAGAGAGCAGAAGTTATTGTTCTTATTTACGATCTTCAGTCCTCCTGAAAATTCAGACTGATGCTTCCACATCCACGTCACAAGCTTCAAAGTTTTTCGCCCCATGTCCAAAATCCCCACTCCATAGTCACCATCAGAAAAGACCTACTATAAGTGTAAGAACAAGTTCTTGGTGAGTAATTCTCACTTTGCTGTTCAACAAGAACATAGAACTATCAACATTAAATGTAGCTATGTATACGTATGCAGTTCTTACAGTGGTCTGACACTAATTCTGGAAAGCAGGTGTCTTAAATGCTTGTCATGGTTTTGGTTGCCTGCCGTGACGTTGAGCTGGAATGTGTAATCTGAGTCGGCAAATAGAAGAAGTTGAACAAGAAAGAATCTGAATTGATGGTCATGTACTTGTATGTAGTTGCGCGCTGCTGCTCACCATGCCGCATCAGCAGAGCCGTCCACTTTATCGATCGGTTTGTCGAGATTCTATTCGCTGCTCTCACATTCTCATTCACTTTGACAGGTAGCATTGTGGTCACTGTTACAGCGAAAGGGAGTGCGCCAAACTGGCCTGATTAAGCTTTCTGGGACTACAATTTTTCGGCCTTTGACCCAGCCGACGATCATGCCTGCCATGGCAATGGGGATTGTTCGTATGAGAAACAGTTTGATCTCTCGTTTTTTGACTAGGGTCGCATCGGAGCCAGGCAGTTAGCTGCTCCTGCTACGTTGTTCGAATGAATGAATAAATCAATCTCGTTTTTTTGAATTCATTTTCTGTTTCTCGTGGTTAGCGCCGATCATATTTGATTTTTGATTTAGGGTTAGTTTCAGTTTCTCCTTCTCCTGTTCTTTGTTCTCTTCCTAGTCCTAGCCCTACCACTACAAAGAAGAAAGTCCAGTAGTACAACTACTCAGCTGGTGGAATCGAATACGTTTTCGAGAGTAATGAACAGACTAATTGCAACTTTCCTTTCATACCCTACTCGACCCCACTACGACTAGGACTACCCCTGACCCTACGACTGGAAGTGCCACATACCACTGCGATTGCAAGTTTCCTTGGCGTGGTCCAGAGTGCGGGCAGATAGACTTACCGCCCTTGAAGCGGAGCGCGCATGGACTACCAATGAATGCATCTCACCAAACCTGGGGTGGGTCCATTTATGGCTAAGGTTTCTGAAGGAGTGGCACCGCACCCATCAGTACCTAGCCACAGTGACAGCAGTTCTACGATATTAAGGCACCACACGGGTCCCGGGGATCTTTTTGTTTTACAACAACAACAACAAGGCTAAAAATAGATATTGATATTTTTCAGTGTAGTGATTGGGAAACAAGAACAACTATCTGGAGATTCTGAATCATGGTTCCCTAATTTCAGTGGTACGAAAAAAGCACCCAAAAATAGCACATGATGACCGGAGGGAAATTCCTCAAATCCGAATATCTTGCGAGTGGAACAGACCCAACTGGACAACTACCGTTTTTTATGATGGACGACTAGATGTTGATGTTGATCGTGATGTCGATGAACACGCTAAAAATGATCTTCATGAATAATGGTGGACATGCCCGTAGCTGGTAGATGAAGGTGTACGTGATTAATCTCATGGAATAGCTAACGGTCCTCGTGAACAACCCCTCATGTTCTACTTCAGGCTATTTTTTCATCAATGCTTTACCTTTAGCTTTGTGACTTTTTGTTTTTTATTTTCAACGACATGATTTTGATTGAGTCAGTGTCGAACTTGTACTTGAAGAAAGTTAATATGATCATCTTCACATGATGATCTTTTTCTTGCACTTGTTGTTGTGTCAGGTGCTCCACCATCAGCCACCCTATCTTACTTATGTCTATTTTCTAAACCGTGGGGAGGTCCCGTAGACCCCCACACACGATTAAGGCCGGTTGTTTTGTGAAGCCTGATCATGAAGGCGAAAGTGGTACTTCTCAGCCTTGAATCGACGACACTCCTTCGATGAGGACGCCGCTGTGCTTCTAAGTGGACCTAGAAATAAATAACTACGGAGGATTAATCAACCTCCGTCCTCCACCAAATACTCACGTTATGAAGCTACGATAGTAGAAAGCTATCACCTCGACCTCCTTCCTGTTTCTCCAGATACCCTCTGCCTCGGCAACCAACCCCCTTTTGTTTACACACAGCATCTGTATCTGAGACCATCAACCCTCGTTGATATCCTCCGTACAAAAACGACACGATGTATGGCAAAGCCGCTTTAAGTCGCTTTCTCAGTGAAGGATCCGGCCTAATCTTTATGACTATTTGGGTCATGAAAATGCTAATGAATATAAACATTAAGTACAAGTACTAGTACTAGAAACAAACCACGAAGTAAAAAAAATGACAAGGTTCTACCTATGTGATGTGGCTTCTGCGGCTGGATTTTCATGCTAGCGGGTAGCCTTCACAAAGTATCTTTTGTTCCACTTCGCACCTAGTACGCCTACGCCAGTGCTTTTGTCGACTTCAAAAATGGGTCTGTGTGTGCCTTTTAATGTCCATGACCTTAAAATGCGTCGGTGTCTTAGTCTTTGTCTATCATCTTATCCTTTACCTCGTCCATCTTTTAAATTCGAATTCCGATCTAGCAATCTGGATGAACTCCACGTCTGGGATGAAGGGCCCCTGGCAAATGCATCTAGTCTACTTAAGAAATGGAACGAAAAGTTTAAGTTTAAGTAAGAAATGGGTAAAGGTTTTAAGTTTACTTAATAAAAACTACCAAGAAAATAATTCAATTTTCCTTTGGAATTTCCTGTGTAGTGAGACAAAAAAAATGGAAGTGATGAATTTTTAAGGTCTGAAGAAAGCTTTTTCTTCTGGCATCTACGTGAGAGTGTCTTTCCTAGTTTAGCTATCGTGTCCTAACTTCTAACCTTCGGTTGGAAGCAGAGCGCGCATCCATTTAGGACACAACGGCACGCAGAACGGTCACAATGGGACTCTAGACTAATGAGATTGCGATGGCAATGACCCGAGTTTCGTGGTGCATCCGAACGGCACGACCGTTTTAGGTTACAAAGGTACCCGATGCGACGCGGCGAAAATCTCTCATAATCTATCACACCGAAAGAGTGGGGCTTCTGGTAGGTCAGTACTTTCCTAGGGGTACTCGGCATATGAAACGTAGAGGTAGACCACTGAGCATGTTACTTGATCTATGGAGCCCAAAACCCCTCTCATTCTCATATTAGCGAAAATGTTTGAAGTTACTGGATGACTAGCGACTGAAAGAGAGAAGCTAACTAGCTAACTCCAGCAGGCGACGGCGTCCCAAATCACAGAGGCACGCCATCCGCGTCTGGGCGCCGCGTCTCCGAGTGCACATCTCTGGCCTGACATGACCCAGCACCCCTGCCCCCACTTGTGCCCCTACTTGAGACCGCTGCGCCTTGCTTGGGCTCGATAGATCAACTAACATGCTCAGTAGTCTACTTCTACGTTTCATATGCCTAGTACCCTATGCTTGTCGTACGTAGACCTAGACCACTGAACATATTCATTCTTGCTGGGCTGTATGAAGACGGTGTTGGTTGTTATACGGTGCTGCTGCAGAGGCTCAGTAAGTCATCATCTAGTATTGCTTGTGATCTTCTGTATCTATAGTTGCTTATCCTACTCAACTTCTCTAATGCGCATTTAGATGTTGCTTGCTACGGAATATGAAAAAATTATCGTCGTTCGACAACAAAACTTGCTCATCCAGATTTCTCATACCGATTGATATGATTTTGCTACGGAATATGAAGAAAATGAACGTAGGCAATGGCAACCCCTCCAACTCCAGATTTCTCACACCGGTTGGTTGGGACTATAATATGCATGTCCAGTTTCATGATTAGCCACAAGAAGGTAGGAGCTATTCGATGCTTGCTAACCTTCTGCCCATGATGAAGTTGTAGATGATACGATATTAGCTAGGGCAAGTGCAAGTAGCTTGATGTGAAAAATTTCGATTTTCACAAGCAGTGGATGATAGATAGAGACTTGCACTATTTACCATATTATGAGAGTGAAGAGACGTTTTTGCTTTCATAACGATAACGAGGACTAGAAAGTAGACAATACCAATGCTCGAAGTAGTTGGAAACGTACAAGAATGACAGCCTGACAGCCTGAGCGCTTAATCAATTGAGCGATCGGATCCGTAGAGTCTGATGTCACACAAGTGCTATCTTCGACGAGGATCATGCTTTACACAATTTCTGTTCGTGGTAGCAAAGATGAGTATGGCTCGCTTCTGAGAAATGTGTGAGTCTCGTGACTTCTGTGAGTCTTCGACGTGAAGGTGAAGAAGCCTTCATTTTTAAAATAATTTGCATTCTTCATCATCATCTATTTCTATTCTGTGGCAGGTTGCCGGTGTGAACTGTGGGCGATTTATAGGCGAAAGTAGCCCTCAACCCCATCGTCAAATACGCTCAAGAAGTTTGTTAGAATTGATTCATTATCTTCATTCTTGTTTA